TTCTGTAGCAGCTTCCGTAACATTGAGAAAATTTAAAAGGGGTAAGTTACACTAAATCTCCGTGAACTTTCAGAGTTTAGTAGCAACTCCCTAGGGACTTCCAATGTCACACTAAACCCAAATAACTTTTACAAAAAAACCCCAATATAGTTGGGTTAAATTACACCAAACCCCCCAGTAGATTTCAAAATGCATTTTCATGCCATTTTTGGCGCTAATTTATGAAGGTTATTTGTAAAATAAAGAGAGCTATTGGGGGCTTTTTGCATTATAGAAAAGTTATTTGGGGTTTTGTACAACATGAAAAAGTTATTAGGTTTCGTGTGATTTTGAAAGTTCGTAGAGATTTATTGCAAAACACTGAATATTCATGGGGGTATAGTGTAATTTACTCTTTCAAAAGTGGAAAGAAACAAGGTTTTTTAGATAGTTGGTAAGTCTTTCATATTTCTAGATTAGCCCCTCAAATCATTGAAAGTGTTATAAGGCAACCCAATTTATAGGGGTTAATTCAAAAATATTTTTAGGGACTAATACTGAAAAACCCTTCTTTCATTTTCTAATCCCTTGTGGATGATCACGAAGGCCCCAGAAAGACAAGCGCGACGATGGAGAAAGAGAAGAAGATCGAAAGAGAGCTTGAAACTCTAATCCTTTCCCAAGTTGGAGAAGTTTCTTGTTCAATCGATGCCGCAAACCACGTCGACGAAGTCATCTGCGCTCTTCACCGCTTAGCAATCCGTCTCTTTCCCGTCGATTCATCTACAATAGCTAGTAATCCTCTCTATTTTCACCCTTGTTTTTATATCAAATTTCAGGGTGTCTTGATATCTAAAGCGATTCCTTTGCCTTTTGCTTTCAGGCTATGTTGATGAGTGTTATAGAGCGCAGGTGTAGTTTTTGACTTTGAAAACCCCCTATTTTCCTTGTTTTTGTTGTATCAGTTGTTCAAACTTCTAAAAGTTCTTTAAAAAAACTCTGGTTAGGTTTTAGATGCTGCGATTCCGACAAATGAAGAAAGAGGTGAATTGTGGCTTGGTTTCTATCATGGAGCTGGGTTTCCGGCAATGGCTAAGATATTGATATACAGTAAGATCTGCAAATTGTTCTCTTTGGATTTTTTTATTATAAAGAAACACAGCTGGTTTCTATGATTTATTTATTTACTGTAAACAGTCAGAAAGATATTTTGTGTTTTAATGGTCTTATATTAATGGCAGTTATTGTTTGCAGATGTTGCTTCTAATTGGCTACCTAAGTTTCCAGTCTCAGCTAAGAAGCAAGTGTATGATTCATTTTTGGTTCAAGGGCCGTCACATGAAACCATTCAAGCTCTAGTGCCTGCATTAGCTCGAAATGGAGCTGTTGGCGAGTCCGACTATAAGGCTATTTGCTCAAATGTTGAAAGGTGTTTCACTTACTTTATTCTATAAGATAAAGATTGTTTCTTTCTTATCTGTTGATATGCATATTTGATTCGGATGCTGATAAGTTGGGCGCCCATCTTTATTATTATATTAAGAAGAAACAACAGGAGCATCACACCCCAGTTTTATATCTAAAATAAATATTCATGACAATCAATCACCAAAAAAAAAAATCAAGGAAACTATAAGACCTATCTAAAGAGTAACTATTCCCTTTTTAACCTCTCAACAAGGTGCACATATATAGGAACCACAATAATATTTTCAGTATGCATATTCACAACTATACTGTAACCGCACTATATATAACCATCATTGCTCATATTTACACTCTTATCTCCATAGCCATAATATCCCAAAACTAACTCATCTTGATCCTCTAGAGCAAGGTTACAACCCCAAGGCCAGCTATATTATGCATTATACATCTCAATAGCACTAAGTTACCTAAAATATTCACAATTGAAATTCCAAAAATAGGTTTATAACAAGCCCAAAATATGCTCTGAACGATTGTCCATCCTTATCGATGCACCTAGAGTAATGCTTGGACCTACTAGATTAAACATGTAATATACACAGGATGACCTCAAAACTCAATAAGCGAGTTAGAGTCATCAAGTAATTTATGTTTTTAAAATCAACAAATCAGGTATATAGGATATATCCTGGGTTCTCTTGGGTCAAGCCTGAAATATTGCAAAGTCAAGGATATTAAGATAAGCTAGTCATATGCAAATCTACACTTTCACACAGTGATTGATTTGGTATCGCGACAATTTAGCCACCTGTGGTCGCGCTCCCCACTCAACTTTTGTAGATATACACCCTCATGATGGGACACATTGATAAGCATTGAAGCTTTCATACATTTATACTGTATGTTTCATTAATATACATGCAATACATGGGCGCCAGTATATATAAACGGCTAAATGGCACTTAAATACATTATTGCTTCATCACCTTTACACTTAAATACCCTAAGTTATAAAAATTAGCACATTAATACCCAAAGTTGTCCACCGTTGGAATATGATAAACACTGTTAAAAATCCGTTATGACAAAAATGCCACTCCATATAAATAAATAAAAAGGTGAAGGGTATGTATAATGGTAAATATGACAATAAATGGGGTCAATACAGTTACAAAAATGTGCAACTAAAAAAAGGTACCAAGGTACCTATATTTTTATACATTCTTTAGTTGTGGATGTGCTAATCACATGTGCAACTAACATAAGGTACTAATGTGCCAATATTTTTACAACTTAAGCTATTTTTTTTACAACTTAAGATATTAAAGTGCTACTTGTTGCAACCTAGGGTATTTAAGTGTAAATGTGGTGAAACAATAGGGTATTTAAGCACCATTTAGCCTATATAAACTCACATCTTATTCGAACTCCAATGAAGTATCATGCTACTAATCATCATACTAAGAATAACTGGCTTACCTAGATATATCATGACATCTCTATGCCTAGACGAGCAGGAAATGACTCATTTCTTGAATCATTAGTGATATACCTCAGATCCTCTAAATCTAGAACATCTCTGTTAAGTATGAAGGTTGATTTATCAGAATGTAGGGTATATCACATGCAACTTATATATGTGTGAGTGTGCGCGTGCACACACCTATCACTCTATGTGCGCGTGCATGTTGTATGTTTGTGTGGGCGCGCCTGCATGTGGGCATGTGTGTGAGCCTAGAGCCTAGATGTATTTATAATATTACATATAAACAAATTGAAATCTCAAAAACTGCAAGAGGCACACAAATACTTAGCACAAAGTCTTCCCTAAGCTTTCAAGTGTTATCTTAGAGTTCCACTCAACTCCTTGTTAAATTTCTAGCATAGGTATTTTTGTACTGTACTCTTTATTTAGTTGTTACTAATTATTGAATATCTATAGCTATTAGTTTTAAAATGAATAAATAATATTTTACCTCAGCATAATTTTTTTGTTTGCATACTAGATTATTTGGCAGAATGACTTTTTAGCCATCATTGGAATTGCATATTTGCATGTTTCCTTTAATAGAACATATAAATATATTAAATTGAAATTACACATGTTGTTGAGATAAAGTCATTTGTCTAGTTTTGATGTTAATGTGTTAAAGTATAGAAGTTTGAATAACCAGTTGTATGTATTTTATCTATTCATTTGAGTTTGTTTTATTTCCTGATGATATTTTGGACCCCTCGTTCTTTGCAGGTTATTGATACTATGTCTTCTAAAAAATGAAGGAGTTCGTCATATGGTTGGAGAATTCAATTTTATGTTAAGAAATATGGAGCATGTTTATGAAATACATAAACCAGACAAAATGAAAACCATATGCAGGGTTGCCCAACTCCTTGCATCCATTCCGGACAAAGCAAGGCCAGATGCCTCATCTGCTCTTTCATCACAGTATCCTTCATTCACCCTGGCCTCTCTATGCATAACTAAAAAATTCTTTTAGGATTAATAACACATGACTGCTGACTTGTAGTTTAATGATCTATTCAATGCTATTACTTAATTTCTGTACACTATTGCATATTGTCTGATAAATTTATCTTATTTAAATCCTGAGATTAACAGATTGAGGATTTGCATATATCAAAAGGTCGAGCAGATTTATATTGATTTATCAATTTTATATTCTTTTGGGATCTGCTATAGTTTTGTATTGTAGATGCTTGTTTTGTATTGATTGATGTATAAGAGTATGTCACTTTCAATAACTTATGATAATTTGAATTGAAATTTTATGATGGCTTATTTGATGATAAAAAAGGTGATTACTCTTATACATGTTTAGTCTAGCCCAAACAATTGGATTACTCAAGCATGTGCTATCCTGGTAGGCGTAATATCTGCATGAAGAATGTACAGCACTTCATAAAAGGTTTGGTTGCATCACTAGGTCAATGGAACATATGATGCTTTCTACCTTTGTATAAATTATAAAAATAGGAAACATGAATCGAGCTTAATATGTATAAAGTATAAAAAATAAGGATTCAATGTGATGAAGATGGGAAATACAAGACAAGAAAATGCAAATATAATCAATTAAAACCATAAGCATACCAAAAATAAGTATTCTCATTGATTTGTAGCATATTTTCTATGTCATCTTAGGAATAAGCATGTGGTGCAGGCAACATTTTAAATATCGGTTATCGTGGATTTATCAAACAGTTAAAATCTATATCGGATACCGGATGTCGGGGATATATCTAGGATAAGTGGTATTTATCAGAGTGACATTATCTGATAGTGATATATATAATATAATATTCTAAAATGTAATCTAACCATACTTAATGATGAAAATATAAATATACCAAAATATAAATAAGTATGCTTAGAATCACTAACCAATGGTAAAAATTGGGGTCGGGTCGGGTTTAAAGTGCATTGAATAGATGCCCGTTGCCCAAAATCAAAATTCAAACCAAAGGTCGATAATTTTGATTTTTGGGCGGACAATATTGGCCGATAACTCATTTTATCGTTGCATTATCGGCAATAAACATCCAAAAACGATAACTGATTTGGAATCGAACTTATCATAGCGGAAGTCCCCCAAAACCGATAAATTGCCGATAATATCGGTTTATTGACCGATATTTAAAACATTGGGTGCATACTTTTCCTTGTCTTCTGGTGCTCACAAGCTTTCTTCGTACATTTTCAATGAAAAGTATTAGTCATAGCATAAATGAAGATGTCAAAGACTAATATGGTAATGAAGCATGGCCTCTCTATGATTTTCTTGTATCCCATTCATCCTCCTTTCCTTTTCGATGAACTCATCAATGTTAATTATTGCTGCAGCAAAAAGTGGAGTTGGACCCTCCTAATTAAATAATTTATTAGTCATTGAGTCCCTTTAGTGCACAAAGGCTTTGCTTAGCTCCTCATTCTTTCGTTATCTTGGAGTCAAGGTTATATTTTACATAGACTAGAGAATTCTTTAGTGTCTTAAATGGTTGGAGCTTAGAGCATCGGCCAGCTTTGCAATTTGAGATGCCAATCTGTTGTCTTGATACTTGGTCTGGGTTACTTTTTTTAATGAGGCAAGCACTTACTGGGAGGACCAGTGAGATGGGTGCCGAATAGGGAACTTACACACATCTCCTAAGGATTGCCTCAAAATACAAGTGACCCTTGTGCAATTTATTTTCCTTGAACCTTTAATTATACATCCCTTGTTAGGATGAGGATTATGTGAATACCAATATGATAATGAAAATTAGGCATTTTCTACATTAAAAAAAAGATTTAAGGAAAAGCAGGCTGATGTCTTCCTAAATTCTTTTTCTTTCTCTTAATCATGTTTCTTCTCTCCCCTATCAACTTCTTTGTTTGCTACTACTTTAGAATATAAAAATATAACCCTCAATCATCATGATAATTTTGGAGTTTTGGTGTAGTAGTAGGGTCTTTGAGATGGTATCAGAGCAACTCATGCTCAAATCTTGCTTTCATTTTCTTCTTTACCTTTCCTCCATACCAAACAGCAGAAACCTTTTTTCTTTTTCGTTTATTTTCCTTCATTTCCTTTCAAACCAAATATGGTCTTAAAGAAAGTGTATAGGTGGGTCAAGAGGAAGGAACTTTCCTTACTGATTTTACGATGACATGGAAGATGATATATGCTATATGTTCGTGAGAGGAAGCTTATTTTTCTATTTTCATATTTCAATCTCTTTTTAATGGACATGAGCTTTGAATTTGTAGTGCTTGAGGTTTAGATTGTCTCTAATATAAGATGCTCATAATTTTGCATGCTCATGGTAACATGGTTTTGGTTAAGAAAATTGTATTATATTTCCATTTTGTTGACACGTGCAAATCTTGTGTGCTTGAATGCTTAATCATTACACTTCATACTTTACATGTATTGAGTTTCATTATTTCTTATTTTGAAGTTTTAGTGAAATCTGAAAAAGACTTACTATACGTGATCTGCTCTAATACAGAGCTCATGTTCAATTTACGTTATGATCTCTGTATTCCCAAATAGTTCTCTTATTTCTTCCTTCTCTTGATATATTTTAAAATAGTAAATGAAATACAATAAGGTCATATATAATAATTTAGTAAATAAGGTCATATACCATACTTTAGTTTTACTTCTGTGAGGGTTACATACATAGGTTAAACTTCTGCATCCATTTATTCAAATAGCAAAAATACTTGTTATTGAATGCTTATCTCTTGTGATTTTTTTACACTAGTGTTATTGCGCTTAACCTTGATAAAATTGTTCAGTTTATTCTTTCGCCAAGTTGCCATTCAACTCCTGGTTGGTCTAGAAGAAGTTGTTCCTGGAGTTATTGTTGCAAGTGACTCAAATATAACTATTCAAGATGGATCTTTTTTATTTGTTGGAGAAACATTTTCACGGATCTCTAGGCGTGGCTGTGCAGGTGAGGGAATTCTCTAACGATTAAGCTAATTTAGCTAATTTCAAGTAATATTTTATAACTGTACAAAGACATTGTAAATTCATCACAAACGTGATGGCACTTCTGCAAGCTGCAAATCACTTTTCCAACAACTACAATTTGATGGTAAATGCCTGACAAATACTCTAGCAAATCAATAGTAATTTTGAACTTGTTTCTCATATTTTATGTGATTGATGTCTCTCACTTTATTTATTTTATGAATTTGGAGAATAATTAGTTAAGAACTGCACATTTGTTATTTGATTCTATAGATCCATCCTAACTCTTGTCTCAGCCTCTAAATACGGTCCACAGTGTGTATGTGGTCTTACTTTAGCCTTCCCCGTGCTGCTATAAGCTTCTGCATTTCTACAGTCTCAGTGTGAACTTCTAATGGAAGCCTCTCTGCCCAAATTTTGTATAATATTCTTATTATAAAATTTTCTATCATGATAAAATACATTATTGCATTTCTATACGATGTGAGATATACCTTTGTCATGTTATTGTTATATTTTGTAGGTATAGCATAGCTTTACTTACTAGATACTACAATTAAAATGGTCCGTTAACTCTCACACAGTCCCTAAATTATCGATCAATTATCATTATATAATAGCACATGCCACTAATAAATGAGCATTACGACACAACTCTAGTAATGCCCCTGTAGATTCATAAATTCTATTTCTAAGGTTCACCATAAATTGTGCCTTCATATAGGTCTTTTGTTTTTTTTATTATGATTTTGTGTAGAGTATATATAAGAGCATCAATGGTTTGAATCATTTTGACCAAGGTTGTATCGTTTTACCATGTTATGCTGAATAGGATTTGCAGTACAATGTTTTGATAGTCAGGAATCTGTTCAGGAATCTAAGATCCTGATTCAAATTCCCATGTTCAGCATAAATAACTCGACCTTGCTGGAAATATTTGATTCCTATCAGCTCTGGAAATATTTGATTCCCGCCAGCTCTGCAATACCACATTTCATGAGAATGTTACTCCGTTTGTGAATATGTGGATGAATTATATTTCTGGCTGCTGGAGATCTTGAAATAAAATTCTCTCCTTTACTGATTCACCATATATGAATTAGACAATGTTCAGATATGAACTATATCACGCCCTGGGTCCGCAAGCCCGTTGACGTGGTGTGAGCCATGAGACTCATTGAGTGCAATACGTTGGTTTGATCCACTACCAAAAATGCTAGCATATATTGCTACTTGGCTCCTAAGGATCATGTTACAAACACTTCCACATCTTTGTAGATGTTCGATGTGAGACTTCATAGTGGGGTGTCACAATCACCCTACCTCAAATTTGCGACGTCCTCAGCATAACATGGTAATTGGTCCAACCTAGTGTCCCCAGCGAGTGGTGTGAACTCTAGAGGTGGCTCCCACTATGCTCATGCGATATAGTACTTTGTCCCACATAGCACTTAGTTTTATATTTCTGACGGACTAACTATTGTGATACCATGTGTCATGCCTCGGGTCCGCTTGCCCGTTGGTGCAGTATACGCTCTGAGACTCGCTGAGTGCATCACACTATTGGTTGATACACTGCCAAAATATATTAGCATATGTTGCTACTTGGCTACAAAGGATCACATTATAAACACTTCTGCATCTTTATAGATGTCCACTAGCATTTAGTCCCGCATAGCACTTAGTTTCACACTTTTTGACTGGCTAGTTGCTGTGATACCCAAGGTTTTAAATATCAGCCGATAATCCGATATTATCCCCGAGATATCAGTTTTGGGTGCTTTTTTATAGGATAAGTTAGAATCTAAATCGGTTATTGTTTTTTGGAGTTTATCGGCCATAATGCGGTGATAAAGCTGATTATTGGTTGATATTAGCGGCTCTAAAAATCAGAATTATCGCGCCATACTATTGGGTTGTGATTTTGGGTAATGAATAGTTTTTTAGTGAACTTGAAACCTGACCCGACTCGTTCTTTACAATAAAACTTAGACCTTATTTTGTAGCCCTAATCCTCTGTTCTCTCTCCCATCATTTGTTCGGTTGTGCTCACTGCATTAATTCTCTGATCTCCGTTCCTCTTCGGACTCCACTGACCTCAACGCTATCGACTTCAACCATTTGACGCTGCTCTCTCATCGACGTCAACTTCATCAACTCAACGACTTTGACCGACACTAAGCTCTCTCTAGCGATGTTATCATCAACTGATTGACTCGACGACGTTGGCCGGTGCTGAGCTCTACATCGATGCCGAGTTCTCTCCATCGACGTCATCATCAAATTTGACTTCAACAGTTTGATTTGGACTCCCCATCGACACCACACATTCAATACAACTTCTGAAGTTGTAGCAATAGGTAATATTCACTATCTAGTTGGGGTTTTCTCTGGTTATTGAGTGAAGGTTGAGAGAATAAAAGATGAGAGTATGGTTAGATTATAATTTGGGGCATTATATTATATATATACATCATACGGTATATCACTCCGATAAATACTACTCATCCCCGATTTTCACTATCCGATAAGGATTTTGGCCATCCGATAAATCTCCGATAACTGATATTTAAAACCTTGGTGATACCATGTGTCATTCCTTGGGCCCGTTAGCCCGTCTGTGTAGTATACACCATGAGACTCACTGAGTGCAACACGTTGTTGGCTTGATCCACTGCCGTAAATGCTAGCATATGTTGCTATTTTGGTTCCTAAGGATCACATTATAAACACTTCCACATCTTTGTAGACGTTCAATGTGGGGCTATTTAGTTGGGCGTCACAAACTAACACATTTCATACTTGCCATCTCTTTGAGTAATAGGTTGATGCACCATAGTCTCTATTCCTGGCCCTCCTGGAATGCCCTTATCTCATTGAAGACTTAAATATTTCCTTTGCCTTGGGGGATGCTAGGCATTCAAGTTTTAAGGGCTTCCTCTACTTGTTTATATTGTCCACCTTCATTGTTTCTCCTTTCTCCAACTACCTTCCTGGTGGATCTGATCACTTTGGGTTTCTTTGATTGCTTTCCCTCTTTTTTCCTACATCTGAGTGCATTTTGCGATGCAGATTTCTTCAGCTCTTCTGCGTGATGGTTGTTAGTGATATTTGGCTTGAGAGACCACTAGTCTCCTTGAATAACCAACCTATCTAGTTTTTGGAAGATCATTCCCTCAACTTAAGATCTTTGTTCATTGCCGTGTTCTTGTCACCTCCTTGCTTATCATTTCAAATACCAAGTTAGTCCTTTTCGAGTTTTGTATGCAACTTGAGAATCTTGTTACACTAGAATAGGCTTTGTCACTGTTAACATGATGGTGTCTATTTTTGGAGAGTACATAGCTTTCTTTCTAATCATTGTTTTCTGCGTAATATTCTAGTGTCTTTAGATACTAGAGGTTCGCTGAAGGAGTTTGTAGATCAGCACAAATGCGTAATCCTCTCTGTGAGCTGAATTATAGTATTTTTTGAGCTGAATTATAGTATGTTTTTGAATTCATCTTTGTAGCTGTGCTAATTGGGCCTGGTCTTGGTCCCTTTGCGTGACCTAAGCCTGGGAGTGACACATCTCTTGTGCTATCTTCCTTCACACTGCCTTTATCGGTTCTTGGTTCTTCTATACTAGATGAAATTGCCTTTGGATCCCTCTCCCTTTAATACCATGATTTTAAACAGAATATTCGTTGTAATTCCCTACAATTTTCCTTTCAGAACTCTTGCATCGAGTATTAGCTACAAGGTGACTCTTGCATCGAGTATTAGCTACAAGGTGCTTTGTGATTTAGTCTTGGAACTTTCATTGTGCATTTGTATGATGTAATAGGTTTACCAACTCAATATAACAACCGGTTTTCTATTTTGTTCCTTTGTCTCCTTTGATATAATTTGTAGTATCGATGAAAATTTGTCCATGGTCTATGTTGTGTATGTTTGTGAAATAAGGAATGCTTGTAGAATTCACCAATTTTTTTGTCATGACTTATTTCAAATTGTAAGGTGATGTTGTGGAGATTCTTCGAGCCATGCCTGTATTTTGCATGCATATATAATTATTGGTCGACAAAGTTACATAAAGTGGTAAGCACTGCATAGGCGCCTAGGCACGTAGGCGAGGCCTAGGAGGATTTTTTTTATTTAGGTGGTGGTGGATGAGGTTTTGGTAAAGGTTGGAGGTTGTGGATGTGACAATGGAGGAAATCACTACCAAGACCTAAGCGGTGCATTTCGCGTAAGTGGCTCATGCCCTCATAGGCACTCTCAAGACCTAGGCGGGCCAGACGTCTACTTTTTAAAACATTGATAGTATGTATGGAGTCTTATCTTAGCTCAAAGTCCAATGTGTAGATGAGTGTTTGATCATATTCAGCTGATTATAGAGTTTAGGACTACCCTATACCTCATCTCTTGTAAAATTTCGGTGAATGAGTAAGCAGCTTGAGTGCAAGATGGATGACCAAGTGGAGAGGAAGTTTATCTCGTCATTCGAAATTGTATTTCTCCAAGTTTTTCTTGTAAACATTCTTGATCTTCTTGTTATTATTGTTTGCACTTCATTAATCTCTAGATTGTTAAGCATGGACGTTGGATATTAGGTCCACTATGAGCATGCACATGAGCCATGACAATACTTAAAAAGTAAACTAAGGGTGCGTTGAGACATGAATGAAGCCATATATGTGTGTGTATAACACATGTATACATGTGTGTATGTGTATTTGAGCTACAATCCACTTAAGTGGATGGAAGCTCTTATCCACCTAAGTTTTTAACCATTAGATTGGTTTGATGGGTTAGGATATTATCGAATGAGATGATACTCATTTAGGGAGAGATAGGTAGTCTCGTAAAAAAAAAGGAAAAACAGAAAAAAGTAAATTGCAATGATCCGTGTATCTCTCCCTCCCTCTCTCTCTTGTTTTGTTCTTTCTATACTCCATTATAAAAAAAACATTGGGGTTCTCTCTTGTTACGAAGTCTAGAGCAGCTCATGCAACATCCAAACCCTAACCAGAATATTAGCCATTCCTATCATTATTTGCTAATTATTTGTTGAAAACACTGGCATAGCGTCCAACCCCTAACCAGAACATTAGCCACTTCTATCGTAATTTGCTAATTATTTGTTGAAAACACTGGTATAGCCCCATATATGTGTGTATAATACATGTATACATGTGTGTTTATATTTGAGATACAATCCACTTAAGTGGATAAAAGCTCTTATCAACCTAAGTTTTTAACCATTAGATTAGTTTGATGGATTAGGATCTCATCGAATGAGATGATACTCATTTAGAAAGAGAGGGGTAGTCTAGTAAACATACAGTGTTCTAAAAAACGGTATGGGCGCCCGCCTAGGCGGGCGGTGCTCAGGCCATGTTAAAAACCCTTGAGAGGCCAATCTTAGGCGTTAGGAGCGCCTAAGTGGGCGCTTAGAACTGGGCAGGCCAATTAAGCGGTCCGTCTAGCTTTTCAAGGGAAAAAACCCATTGGATCCATTTTTTTGTCCAACCAAAAAGTAAAAACCCAAACAACGTTTTTATTTAAACCAAATCCTATTATCCAAAACCAAACCCAATTTCAGCCAAAACCCAACTACAATTGATAAAATAACCAAACCCTAATCTTCTAAGTTCTTTCAAAGTCGTCAATCCCCTCAAATCCCTGTGATTTTCTCCCTGCTCTGAAGCAGTCGAAGCCCCCTCTGAGCTCTCTGCTCTGTAGCTGTCGAAGCCCCCTCCGAGCTCTCCTATTGAAGCCGTCGAAGCCCCCTCAAATCCCTCACATCGTTGCTGCCGAAGCCCCCTCAAATCCTCTCGTCAAAGCTATCGAAGCCACCTCAAATCCCTCTTGTTGAAGCTCTTGAAGGGAACAAGTTTTGGTTTCCTTTTCTTCTTTTCTTCTTTTCTCTTCTTTTTTTATTTTAGTCAAAGCTGTCAAAGCTGATGCTCTGCTAATTTTTCTTTCTTACAAATTAAGGGAATGATACAATGAGCTCAGATTAGTATATCATATTTGTTTCAATTTCTTATGGTAATTGTTAATTGGGCTTTATTTAATTTGTTTGAACATCAAGAATGTAACTTGTTAGTGCTATTAAAAAGGTTAATAAGTGATTAACTCAATAATACAGATGTTGTATTTGCAACTCAATGTTTTAATTGTCTTTGTCCCTGACATCAACCCTTTAATGACCAGACTCTTATCCATTCTAGAAAATTTAACGACCAGACCTTTATCCTTTAAACTTCATTTTCAAGCTAGAAATTTTATTAGATCCTTATCTTTGTTTTTGCTGGATAGCATATGTGTTGGTATTTAGTATTTATGCATCTTTAATTGAGTATGTATATATATATTTATACTTGAAGATCACAATAAAAATAATAATAAAAAACCCAAAAATTGCTTAGGCGCCTGCGTAGGCATCTAGACGCTGGGCGCCGGGTTCGACGGCTAGAAACACTCAGCGTTTAATGTAATACTGCTGGTAAAAGAAGAAAATAGGAAAAATATAAAAAAGTAAATTGCAATGATCAGTGCATCTCTCCCTCCCTCCCTCCCTCTTGTTTTGTTCTTTCTACACTCCATTATTAAAAAAACATTAGGGTTCTCTCTTGTTGCGAAGTTTAGAGCCGATTATGCAACATCCAAACACTAACCAGAACATTAGCCACGTTTATCGTAATTTGCTAATTATTTGTTAAAAACACTGGCAGAGCGTCCAAACTTTAACTAGAACATTAGCCACTCCTATTGTAATTTGCTATTTATTTGTTGAAAACACTGGCAGAGGTGGGGGCTAAGGGTGGCCGTGCCCCCGGCTTTTGGAAATTATATTTCTATGTGTAGTATAAGTCCATTTCATATGTATAGAATTAATGCATATATTTATTGTGTGAAAAGCTAGCTAAGTTAGGAGTGCAAATGGGTTAGGGGTCAATTATGTTCCAAGTCCAAGCCTAAAACTTGTAGCATATTTCTGTGGGCCCTATCCAAACTCAAAAACAACTTAGCTCAACACAAATTTTATTTACTAAAAAGAGAAGTGGAACCCCCCATCGAGAACGTGCAATTCTTATTAGCAAAATTCATCTTTGTTCTAATCTTCTCCCAAAAACTTATTCCTCCAATCCGCATCTTCTTAGTTCTCAAAGCCCTCAAGAACCTCACTATTGTTGCTTCACAGTTGTTAATTCCTCATCCTTGCTTCACAGTTGTTAATTCCTCATCCAATCATTGATTGACAAGTTAGTTTGAAAGTTAAAACCTTAACTATTTTTGCTAGTTTTATTTATACTATATTTATTCTTATCAGTTTAATTTTCAATTGATTAGAGCAAATATTGTTGTAACTTTGATTTGCTAATGTTATCCAATTATTAGGAGTTATTAGGGATTTTGTTTTCTATGACTAGAAGCTCATCGTGTTAGCAAATTGGCACTTGTCAACCTAACAACTCTCTTTGCTACTAAATCTCTTGCATTCAGATAGAATGTTAGATGCATTTTGAGCCATTAGGATACTGGTATCAAAGGACGTGTGTTCTACAATAGTATTAGACTTGGTGATTATGATTAGTTGCAATAGTGATTCACTGAATTAGACATTTGAATCTTTGATGCGTAGTAACAACTTTAGGGTTTTATTTCAATATTAGTCCATTAAATCTTAAATATTTTGAAAATAGTCCCTCAAATTATTGAAATTGCTACTAAGCTCCCCATGACTTATATTTTCAACTAAGCTATAGAAATAAATGTCTTCGTTAAATTTATTTTTTAATCTTGATTATTGTTTGAAGCAAATTTAATGGTATAATTAATAGCATATTGTCAATATGTCATGTCTTCAAAACGATTAGAATCTGTAGTTTGGTAAAGCTTATATTCCATTTTCTTCTTTCACCTACTTGCATATATGAAATTAGTTTTGTTATACAATGTCATATTTTATCTCTCTTTGATTGCACATGATAGTTGCATCTGTGTTATATGTATCCTAGATTTAGAAGTGTGATGTATCTGCATGCTTTTATTGCATGTCCTCAAGCTAGTGAGTATGCGTATAGAAACTGCTGAGAGTGGTTCGCTGACTTGAGCTTTCTGGCAAGAGGGACATTATGCTTAGTTTTCCCTCCTCCCCCCCCCCCCCCCCCCCCCCCCCCCCCAAAAAAAAAAAAAAAAAAAAAATCCTAGCTCCGCTGCTATTTGAAAATTGAAATTATATTTTGACTAGATCTCTTTTGTTTTATTCATAAATTTTTATCTAAAAAGTAACAATCAATTCAAATGTAATTATTTAATTGCTTAAAATTTTTAGAAAACATACTCTCAAGTCTTTATAATAAGTTATATTGAAATAACGCAAGTTACATTGAAATAATGCATGTTACATTGAAATAATGCATGTTATATTGAAATAATGTAAGTTTTACTGAAATAACGAATGTTATATTGCAATAATGTAGAGTTATGACATATGTGAGTTACTTCAAAAGGTTACATAACGCAAAATAATGAGTTACGTAACAGTTTTATTAAGAATGGTAGTTTTCTACCTGTTAATATTTGGGTACCGTTTCCTTCCCAAGCATAGTATTTGATAGATAAATGAAAGAGATAAATAGCTCATGATTACAAAGTTAACCAATAAGTTCAAGAAATGTATGATTTGTATCATAAGACAAGTGTTCTAAATCAAACAAGAAGATATAATTGAGCACACCTTTGAGAAGTGTGTGATACGTGCTTGAGAAATGTGCAAAATATGTTGGTGTCTGACATGTGTGTTGATGTGTCCAACACATATATGGTTTCTAGAAGAAGTATCTATTCTACATAGCTCCCAGATTATAAGATGTCACAAGATTATAAAATGTGACAAATGAGTGGAAGGGAAAGGGAAAGGAAAAGGGAAGAAGAATGAAAGGATGAAAGAGGGATATGAATTTATAGAATTACACTCGAGAAAGTATCAATTTCTAAGGCTGCTGATTTATGCTGATGGGTATACTTGACTCATAAAAACAATATTTTGATATTATACTTGGTACAACTAACTTGAGTTTCTAAACCATCTTCATTAGCTAGTTGTTACTTAAGACCTGTTGATTCTATCTTTTTCTTGTAAGATAAGTTACCTTTAAATTTAAAACAAGTTGATGCATATGCTTGATCTCCTTATTGTTTTCATTGACTTCGCAACCTGTAGCGTATCGGATGTTGGAAGATAGGTAGTAGGATAGTGGAAGACTGGATAGTGTGATCGGAATTCAGCTAAAACTTTTGAAGTTTTGAATTGTTTATCTTCTTATTGCTTGAGTAACTTGACTTCATTATAGCTTGGCTAACTGGTAGTGGAATATTTCTTGTTAGTACTATAAGAAATTGTCTTGTGGTACGGCTCCAATCTTTTTGTAAGTAGTACTTGATTATATCATTCAATGTGATTCGTGCATCTAATTGAATGAATGTCATTTGAAGGTCACTTTACTTGGGAATGACCATAATGATGCCTGTTACTTTGGTTTTTTAAGTGCTTTTAGTAAATTGCTAGCGCTTATTCAAGTTAGTTTGAGAATGAAAAAGGATCTGATATATACTTTCTAACCCCTCATGAGAACTTGGCAGTGGATTTTGCAAATTATAAGAAGCACCATACTACATATGATTATTCTAAGTCTGTTGCAAAACGTTGCTTCTTTTTTCGTGCTCTACTAATATTAAGACTATGCTTTCAGATATTCTGGTTGTTGAAATGATTCCGAGGATATTGAGTCATGTTAGAAGCTGCTTAACGACAAATGCTGGTTTCATATGTTCTAATATATTTAATACGACACCCAATTCCAACTTGTGGTCAAGGTTAATGGAATCAGTAAAGGACCAGTATGCCATTGAAAGGTTATGCGAAGAGTTGCTACGCCAGCTAGCAATAGAGAACATAGATGATATTGAAGCTTATTGGATACTGTGGTTATTATTTCATCAAACTTTCAAGGATCAAAAAATAACAAGGTCAGTCAAAATTTTTATTGAATATTTTCCAAAACTGTTGTGTACTTTGTTCCAGCTATACCTTTTCTGCTAATTCAATGTGAATAGTAGGGTGCTCCAATCACACTATTGGACATGAATCCATGTGAAAACATGAGATATGGAATAACACTAAGGTCGTGTTTGTCTTTTGGATAGTGAGGGTATTAATTTAAAATAGTCTGGGCCCACATTTTTAGCTCATGTTTGTTTTTGTCTGCTCTAGGCTAATTTTTATGAGGAACTAGTTAATACCCAATAATGGGATTACAATAAACCCACCCAACCCCCCACCTTTACAGTCTAGGGATTAATCATCTATGGGGAATAAGATTTTTTGACAAAAATATCCCTATCCTTTTAAATTTACCCCCTCATTTTGTTCTATTGGTTCTTTTAATTTTTATACAAGTTCTATTGGTTCTTTTAAATTTTAGGGGTTCTTTTGTCTCTCTATTCTTGTGGGATTTTTTTCACGAATATCCTTTTTCTGTGTATTTTTTCCCATAAAACGGATGGGGAAAAATGTAGTCCATGTCTTCAAATGGAGTGCATCAATCCAGGATTGTAGGAGGTATGTAAATGATAGTTCTTGTTTGCTTATATATATGAGGGCAAAAATGTTATTTTGTGTATTTTTCCATACAACTTCTTTTTAGGGGTTCTTTTGTCGCTTTATTCCTGTGGGATTCTTTTCGCGAATATTCTTTTTCTGTGTATTTTTTGTGAAAAACTGATGGAAAAAACGTAGTTCATGTCTTCAATATGAAGTGCATCAATCCAAGATTTGAGGAGCTATGTAAATGACAGTACTTGTTTGCTTATATATATGAGGGCAAAAATGTCATTTTGGGTATAACATTAGTCAAGGTTTTAAATATCAGATATTAGGAAAATATTAGACGGCCAAAATCTATATCGGATTGCGGATGCCGTGTTGAGGATAGATGTACATATATAATATAATATCCTAAATGTAATCAAAACATACTTCAATAAATCTAAGCATACAAAAATGTAAATAATATGTGTTTATCATCACTAACAAGTTGTAAAAACTTACTTAGAGAAAAGATCCTGCTTGAATTTTCTAAATAACTACATAAGGATGGTATTTTTGCTAAAAACATTAAAGAAATTTTGCAGAATCGAATTGTTTGGTGACATGCTATGTTACTCTGGTACTTTTGTCATGAAACCATACCCGTACTTGACACGTTCCTGTACCTAACCTTCATGAGCACTTCTTGGATATACACATATATTTATTCAAACATGTACTCAATTATATGATATATGTTTTAATTAAAAATTCTTTCCTTTCACTTCTTGAATATATATCCTACACTTCATATACATTTCTTGAAACTCATTAGATATGGGTCAAGGTTGTCTTTAGCGCACCCAAGTTCAAAACTACAATTTTAAAGGGTCGGAGTATAGTTAAAAAGACAAGGACTTTCTGATTTTTATAGTAATCAACATAACTAAAGAAACTTAACAATGTGATGAGAATTTTAATTCTAATAACACATGAATTCAAAAACTATAATGATCTCATGTAAATTATTAATTTCAATACATATATGTAGTTGTGTCCCCGTAGCTTACATTTTCGTGTCCCCTACCCATACCTGTACCGGTACCCGTTTCCATGTAACTTAGGTGACAAGTCATATAAAAGGACATATCAGTTAATATATTGGTCATGTCGGGGATAATATCACCCAAATATTGCCAAAAAGTGGTAAAGCATATCGAGATCATATCGTTTTGCGGTAAGCCTTGTAAAAGGATATATCGGCCTAATGTATCGGCTATATCGGGGTATTTAAAATAATGATATTAGTCCAAATGGTCATAATTCGTCAAAAAACTAACACTAGTCTTGACTATCTTATGTTAATCTGGATGTTAGGTGAAAACAAACATTAAATTGGACCAAAATAGTCCCAGGGTATTATAGTTCCTGGACTATAGTCTGCAGTTTATAGTACGCCCTACTCCTATAATATAAACAACGTGGCCTGAATATTGGAATGTCAGGCTTCAGTATTTTTGCAAGTTTACATATGATTTTCATGTCATTATTTGATGACCATTCATTTTTTATCTATATATGATGTCATCTGGCAGTATTGACATGCTGATGTATTTAGTTAGCCATCATGTATATTTGTTCAGCATTTTGAGCAGGCACTAAACTAAAAGCTATGTAATAGGCTTATTGTATCTGAAATTTCATGGCCTTGACGCCTCTCGCTTATTAACTTGAGCACGCCTCTCGCTTATTAACTTGAGCGTATTCTATTAGACAGAAATCATGATGGAAGATTCTCTTCCCTTCAATCAAAACATTGAGTTGTATGAAAATTTATAGGACCTTTTACTTTCAGTTGAGCATTGCATGCTTGTGTAATTGAAAGTATTAATATGAAGTTATTGAAATATAATTGAAGTCAGTTATAGAGAAGAGTGGTTTCTCAACAGTGTAACTCTGGTGTCTTTTTTTCTCCTTGAAATTTAATGGTTTCCGGACCACGTAGTTCCATAAAATTTTACATCCGAACATGTGGTGGTTGCATAAATTTTTACATCTCTTGGCTAAGCTCTTCTTGCTGATTTTTTTCAAACATTTGAGGTCTTTGGCCATGAAGTTCAAGGAAGATAATCAAAATTATCAGGGCTGCAGTGTGAGCAGTGGACAAGATTTATCTTTGACTTGCCACTGTGCGACAGACCTGACATTCTTACTAGTATTAGTTGGTAGTAGTGATTATGCTAGTTGTAACATGTTGATTTCTGCACTGGTATTTGCTAATCATAAATTTTAAATCTGCAACATTACCTTGATGCTAGTTTTGTGTTTTTCTGTGGTTGCACTGGTTGGTTATATTTGCTTTTACTCAATGTTTCGTAAAACGAACATGGATAATTAATTTGCCCAAGTCTGTTAGATGCATAAATATGGAAATTCTAAATGTTTCAAATATTATGACCACTTGAAGAAGCTGCATATTCTTAGGCAACTTTGCTCTGGATAGGGATGGTAAATGATTGAATCAAATCGAATGTGCTGATATTCGAATTTGCATTCAACGAAATTTTAGGTATTCGAATTCAAATTCAAATTCGAGTTTGAGTCCAATACCAAAAATGTATTCATATTTGATTCGGTTAAATAGTAGACTGTTCGCTGATTATTCAAGAATAACCGTTAGCTTAGATGGTTAGGTTTTTACATGGGTTTGAATTGGTCAAGTGTTTGAATCTCATTGCAAACTTTGTATTTTCGCTTTGATATTGTTGATGGTTTTTCTGTATATCACCTTTTTAGGTTACATATATTTTTAAATTTACCCTTCAAAATTGTATTATTTATTTATTTACACCTCAATTTGAAATCGTGTTATATTTGTGGGCTTAATGTACATCTAAACATAATTTAATAGGGTGTATGTCATGATTTAAATTTATAAAATTTGGATGTAAAATATAACGAATATTTAATAACTGGATCATATATATCTCTGGTTAAATTCTATTTATTTATGAGCCAAATACTAAAAAAATATTTGTTTACTATTAAATGAACTATTGAATCAAATATGACCGAATATCTGGATGAGTAATAACCAAAGAATATATTAATTTTTTGGTTCATTTCCACCCTTAGCTCTGGATATGCATCTTTTTTGTTGAGTAACAGTGAAGTTTTCACGATATGCTTGTGATCTTTATTACTGTATTGAAGACCTTCTCTTCCTGCAATTTAGATTTCTTTTTCCCATCGTGTTTATTCAGACTGATACTGGTTTCGATGTTAGCCGAAGATAAAAGCAACAAACTAAGTCTTTATATCAAATATTCGGGATGTACCTTAAGAGATTTGATGGAGCTTTATAGAACTAAACAAGATAAGGTCTAGGACTCTAGCCCTAGCCTATTATCAAACTAAGAACTAGCATACATTTACTTACTACTTTTTCCTACCCTAACTACTTTTTCCTACCCTACCTTGACATTCCACTACAATTCTATACTGTGGTTTACTGTCACTCTTTGGACTTCGTTGCATATATGCTGACCATCTTCATGGACTCTAGCTCATTTTAAATTAAGAACTAGTATACATTTATTTACTACATTTTCCTACCTTATCCCTTGTCGTTCCACTACAATTCTATACTGTGGTTTACTGTCACACTTTGGACTTCGTTGCATATACTCTGACCATCTTCATGGACTCTAGCTCATTTTAACTTCAGTTAAAGCTATCCCAAATTTCTGATAGATGCATATTCCTTTGTTGTCCCTCTTTCAGCATATTGCCACCCACTTGTTATCAGGCTAAACAATCTAATTCATGCATTCAGGTTGTTTAGCTGTTTTAAGAATATCCTATCAATTCCATTGGAATTCAACAATCACATAGTTTTCCAGAGACACTAGGGGCCATTTGGTAGCTTGCAATTGTCACTTGTATGCAACTCAATCATTGCAACTGAAATCATAGGCTGCAACCGAAGAGGCATTTCCCATTGTAGTTATTACTGCAACATCTATTTGCAATGAAACAAACACTTGCAACCTGGCAAAAATGACTCACTGGCGTGCAACTGCAGCTGTAATCACTCCAGTTGTATGCTACCAAATGGCCCATTAATTCATCTCAACCATCCTTCGATTTTTTTTGAACAACATCTTACTTAATCTCACCATGGTGATGGATGATTGATCTGGGTAGCAAAAATCACCACCACTCTTGAAATTCTTCATTTTAATTTTTAACTTTCTCACTAAGTGATTGCATTTTCTTCTAATGATTACCAATCTTGAAATGCCCTCGAAACCTCCAAGTGTCATTATCAAGTTATGATGGCTTGCCACTTAATCTTGCCTTCTTTAATAGTTGGCAGGCAATTGCATGCTGACATCTTCCAAAGCACATAAAACTGCTTTCTGTTCGATAATGTGCACAGAATAACGTCCAGGTTCACTACTTCCTGTTTAGCTATGTGCACAGAATGATTTCTAGGTTCAACGTCCCTACTAGGTATTAAAGCATATCTTTCTGAGCTCAATAGGTACTTTATATATTGAAGGTGAACCTTATCTTCTGTTCTCATAAGAATGCCAATAATATTGACAGAAATTGATAGTTAATGTGTTGCTCCTCATTTTGTAGAAAACAAACCGATGGTTTATCAGTTCTGGAATGTTTTAGCATGCCTTGATGGATGGTCCAACCATAAGTACACTAGTAGGGAAAAAAAATATTCCTCTTTTTCCATTTCCCTGGTGCTGCACCACCTTTACATTGATGCTCCAAATAGAAGCAAATCCTTAAATCATATGAACTATAAACCAATTCCAGCTTTAGAACTTAATATGAATTAAGATCTGCCCATGGACATTTAGTAGAAAAATCCAAGCTGTTGAATTCTAGAGGAGGTAAGGATCTGTTAGCAAAACTTGAGATAAAGCAGATAAGTTTTTTAGGCAGATCCTTTGCGTATCAAAGAGCAGGTGTTGTCAATGGCAGCACCGATTCTGTGATCTCCCAGTCTGAAAGCAAAATTATTTTACCATAAGAAGCTGGCTGCCATATAAGTATCTGATTCACTGGAAAATAGTAACAGTTGTACCATGAATATTCCATCTGCTGGAAATTAGCAAATATTTCACCAATCTGAGGTAAGTTTGCGTTGCTGAGTCACTTGTAGATGTTTAATTATGCTACATGTCGGTCCAAAACAGAAGCAAACACGTAATGTTAAGGTGACATTATTCTGGCAGAATATATTCTTTTCAATCGAAAGAGAAGTAAGATCGACATTGTATTCCACCTTTCGAAAATTGGAGGAACTTGAAGTGTGCCTTTTTTTTAATTTCTAAAGAAGATAAGTGAAACACATTCAGGCTCAAAATGAACACTTAATATCAGAACTTTCAAAACCGAGACTAATCTACATGTAAAAGGGTGTGTTTTGCAACTGCACGTTAATCTGGATAAGGCCTTCACTGGATTAGGATTGAACCAAGGTGGGGGTGATCCAAAGAAAACCTAGTTCCTCTTGTTCGAACTCAAAAACTAGTTTTGCCAAATGCATTTTAAGCCTTAACCAAGTTAGTTCTATGAAGGTAGATAGTGGGTGAGTTACCAAACTGGCCCTAAGAGTATGATGGAGTCTCCTTATTTTTTTCAAATTTCTTAGAGAACCACTAGTTTGGAGTCCAAAATCCACTCTTCTGTTCTTGCCATCAATTTTTAAATATGGCACACCCTTTTAGAAGAATGAATCACTACTATCAAGTTACAGGTCAATCTTGAACCAAAATTATGCAGAACTAAAAAACTGCATGATTTATCAAGATAATTTTTTTTGAAATAGACACTACCAGTTCGCAATTAAAAATTAACATATGGTTGGTGTAATTGGGTTTTGTACTAGTCGAAAACCAAAATTTGAACCAAATGAATGCAGAACTGAAACAAACCTGAACCTGGTTCAGAACTGAACTACACCACCGAATTTGAGGATTCAGTTTGAGTTACAGTAATTCTGTTTAGACATGAAGCCAAATTGCAGATAACCTGACTTGTTTTACATTATCAAGTCCAACCAATTAATTTAATTGATAAATTAGAACCATCCGTTTCCAGCGCTCTATAGATGATAAACTAGAGAAGGTTCAAATATTTCTAGACATGAGAAAGTACTTAAAAGTCTATTCTATAGTATCAACAATCAACAGTGTTAAATCACCGAAGAGTAACCTTGCATTAACAAAATAATTTGAGGAATTGCACAGCTGAAGGAACTACCAAACTTAAAACAAGTTACCCTTCACATAGGCGAGTGAGAATGCAAATAATGATGAATTGCGTAATCCTTATAACAAAAATGAAAAAACTTTAGAGGTCAGAATCATGTGAAGCATCATTCGGTTCCTTAGAGTAGATTGTACCAATCTAAACAAAAGTATATAGTAACGTAACAAATACATCTTCTCTTTCTTTCTGATATATCCTTTAACAGATCAAATGGATGTCAATACAATAGATTAAACGGGAAGAGGAAGAAGAAGTGGAGGGGTTCAGGTGGTTGTCAAAGGCTTTGTTTTGTCAAAGTTGACATGAACTGTCGGCAGTGTTCACCAACTTTGAAATCAGGAGATCCATGTCATCTTGTGAGAGGATCAGAGATTCCCAAGATCCCATGATCCATGTGACGCTTGAGAAAGGATCAGAGATCCATGAAATTGTGAGCTGTACATAAAGATATCTATTCTGATAAAGGGGGAGAACATGTGACTGAGAGAAAGGGAGGAGGTGTTGCTGGAGAGAGATAAATAGGGAATGAAGGAAGAGAAAAGAGTAAATAGAAAATTTTAGAAAGTACCTCACTTGGCCCGGTAATAGGAAAAGGAAAAAGTTTGTATCCAATAATTTTTTTTTGTTAATTTGGATCCAAAGTAGGAAAACCTGAAGCCTATGTGTCTCATAAACTGAGATTTATTGTAATTCAAGATCAATTTGGTTTAACGATTTTGTCTTGCTTGGTTCTGTACTTAGTTAAACCCACGTCCTTACTCCTTATTGCAATAATAACACTAATGTCGGAAAGTCCTAGGGAGTTACATATATAATTTCATTATGATAAAATTGTTTAGTTTAGTTATACAGCATTATAGTTATATTATTGTGGTTTTGTACTGTATTATGTTTTAGTTAGATGAGGTAACTTTACAGTTTAAGGAGGGACTATAAATGATATATCATGTTGATAAGAAATTATCCTGTTTTTGCCTCTTAGTTGTACTGACACCGACAAGTATTTGTTGGAAATACATTCCAGGATAGAGACTCCTATTTGTTTTAGTAAGCATTGCATACATTCCGAACCTCACAATAAGAAAAGCGTGCATCAGTACATGTGAAGGCCACTCCTAGGTTTTTTTGCTTTTATTCTTCTATTAGCATGTTGATGATTTTTTTCGTTTTCATTTTGCATGTGGCTTGGTGCACTTTCCTTATGTGCTTTGATATGATTTTAAGCATATGTTTCTCTAGTCCATCATGGAACTTGTAAAGAACGAGCTCCTGAGTTTGTTTTTGTAGTCGTGGTGTCCTTACCTGACTATCACTATGCGTGAAAGTTTCAAGTAGTTTACACTTGGTTCTTTGTTGTTCAACCTTGGTAAAGTTTGTTGTTAACTATATATGTCTGGTAGGTTGTATTCATATTTTAGTTTCTTTTCATGAGTTTATATTTTGACAAGGAGACTACCTTTACTCTAGGCTAATAAAAATGTTTTATATGGTTTTTAACGAGCTCTTGAATTATCTGGTTCCCACTGATTTGTTACTACAAAATCTATTCTAGTAGAAGTTCTTTTGCTATCTTCTGTAGTAACTAGTTCCACAGTTTCCATTATATATGTGCTACGCTTATTACTTATACATGTGTTTGTGGAGGGTTTCCATGATGTTTGATTGGCACAATCCTAGCAATTGTTACTCTGTGTAACTATTCATCTCTCATTCTCCAGCACAATTTTCATATTAGACTAATTAATTAGGTTTTGTGTGAGAGTTCATTGTTCTCTATATTCTTGGTCTTTGCCATTCATTTAGACTTTGTTTTGGTGCGAACTCATTGCTGATTTCTTTCACACACACCCACACAAATCATGCTTAAAGTGGATTTTTTAAATTTTGTTCTTTGTTCATGACAAGCACGGCAGTTTGTGAAGAAGTATATACCAATTATCTTTTGCACCTAGGAAACATTGCAGCCTTGCCCTTTTTGGTCTTCATGAATATATATTTAGATGATTCTTTTCCTTTTCAGGGTCATGTTCATTGAGAAGTTTTTACTTTGGAAAGTGTTGCCTATATATTGCCTGAGATGGATCATTCAGTTTGCAGTCCTTGAATGCCCGCCATTTGTTGACACTAGGATGGAAGATCGAAAGTCAAAGGGATTCCTAGACACTGTACGACGTCTGGTTGTCATTTGGAGCAAATCTGAATTTGTGCAGTCAACGCCGATGGAGCAACAAGCATGTATCCTTTATGTTGTTAATATTAGTCTTATTGAAGAGAAGTCATTTATAATGCATATACTCCTACAGAATTCCTTATGTTTTGTAGTTCCTGAAATGTTTCAGATATAACTGCTGCTGTTGGTTTCTGTTTAGAGAAAATGACTAAAGAAGAACTCGAAACAACTAAGGATGTCTTGCATCTAATTCTACAAGGAGTTAGTTGTACTATTCTTTTACTATATCAAATAGTAATGCTCAATATTTATTATTGCATAAAATGGCCATTGTATGCTTATGAATTCTTCCATTCTTCTGTGTAGGTAGGCTAGAGAGTCCAATCCATTTGGTTCGGAAAATGGCAAGCTCTATTGCCTTGGTGTTTTCTAAAGTTGTGGATCCAAAAAATCCCCTTTATCTTGATGATGAGTGTTCTGATACTGTTAACTGGGACTTTGGAATTATTCCCAAACCTAAAAGGCGACTAGGTGCTCCCGATGTTGCTGAAATTTGTCATGATTCAGAATCTGCTTCATGTAAGAAAGATAATATTGTAGCTGAGGATAAGAGGAAGAAGGGTTTGACAAGTAAAATTGCACAAGATGCTGAATTTAAGGGCTCCAGGTCAGTTGATTCTAGTAAGATCATCAATCGCACAATACTCAGCAGTGAAGGTTTGCCCAGCGAAGAGGATGATTTTGAAAGCGAAGCTTCTGAAGCTTCAGACGACTCATCTTTACAGCCATACGATCTTTCTGATGATGATACAGATCTCCAGAAAAAGTTCTCCCAATTGGCTGATATAAGTGTAGCTTTACGAAAAGCCGATGATCCAGATGGTGTACGTGAATTTTCCCTAAATATACAACCTTCACTTAATGTCATAATTTGCCTATGTTTTTCTCCCCTTCGTTGAACAGCTAAATAACAGTACTTTCTCATCTAATTCATCTTCTACTGTCCTTTTATTTATAGGTGGAAAGAGCACTTGATGTTGCAGAACATCTAATACGAGCATTACCGGATGAACTTCCTCATATTTCAAGTGATCTTGTGAGGGCATTAGTGCATGTTCGTTGCTCTGATGTCACAATTGAAGGAAAGGAAGATTCTGCTGAAGGAAAGAGACAAAAAGCTTTAATTGCCTTACTTGTCACATGCCCTTTTGAATCATTGGATGTTATAACAAAGTTATTGTACTCACCAAATGTTGATGTCAGCCAACGCATTTTGATTCTTGATGTCATGACCGAGGCAGCAGAGGAACTTGCTGATACCAAAATCATACAAACAAAGGTGCAAAAACGGGATTTGGTATCTAACCTTTCAGATGGACAGCCGTGGTTCATTCCTAGTAGTAGAGGTCCTCCTGGAGTAGGCCCTTGGAAGGAAGTGTCAGAAACAAGAAGTGTTTTAAGTTGGTCTCACAGATATGAGAGGGAACTTCCTTCTAGACCTGATCAAACTAAGAAAGGCAAATCACGGAGATGGGCCCTTGGAACAAAAAAAGAATCCCAGTTGGAATTGACAAAGAATAAGTTTCCTTTGTATGCTGCTGCTTTTATGTTCCCTGCCATGCAAGGGTTTGACAAAAGAAGACATGGTGTGGATTTGCTGAACAGGGATTTTATTGTTCTTGGGAAACTAATCTACATGCTTGGTGTTTGTATGAAATGTGCAGCTATGCATCCTGAAGCGTCAGCACTTGCGCCAGCCCTCCTCGACATGTTAAGATCTAGGTATCATTAACCTGTCCTGATGCTGTCTGAAGTATTGAAAATTTGCAACTTATTGAGCAATGTTTTCTGTTAACTGAATGATTCTTAGTGTGTAACTGATCCATAAATCATAAAATCTGAACCCATGCCCAGCACCAGTGGAAGTGTTAGGTGATATTGAGCATTTTATAAATAAGTCATGAAATGCTAGCCTTTTCTTTCTCAAATTGATAGGTTAGCAAGTAATGGTGTTATTGATGTGGATGCCAGAACTCATCTTTTTGCTATGCTCGATTACTTCTTGATAAGGGAAAAATATTTGCTGAATCACTCGTATACACTGAAACATTTGCTATCTATGAACTAAAATTGTATATTTACTGCCACGTATGTTGTTCATGATGTTTGGCTTTGTATTCTTCGCAGAGATGTATCGCATCATGCAGAGGCATATGTGAGGAGGTCTGTCCTTTTTGCTGCTTCATGTATTTTGGTGGCTCTACATCCGTCATATGTGGCCTCTGCTCTAATTGAAGGCAACCAAGAAATTTCGAATGGGCTTGAATGGATCCGTAAATGGGTCCTTCATGTTACTGAATCTGACCCTGACACAGAATGCACAATGGTAAGTGTCAGTAGTCTTCAAAGTCCAAATTTGATGAGCTTCTTCTTTTAAGCCTATTTGGTCCGTTAGGAAGTGACCAGTTTGTCATTTTGTCATTTAGACATTCTTCTACTTTTTTCTATGTTGGGAAAGGGCAAGGCGTCAGTTAGCTCATGATTCTGGATAAAGCTTAGGAACTTATTTAATAGAAAAGGTGCTTAGATGCCTGACTAGAACAACTAGGAGATCTTTTAGTTCTTAATTTTTAATGTCTTGTTGTATTAAGTGAAAATTTAAAAACAAATCCTAGTTTATTACATAAGTAATGCTTGCTACTCATGTAAAATATACACACGCACCCATGCACACGCATGCGCGCCCACACATGCAGGCGCTTGCTTAATGCAACTAGTATAATGCACGTTCTTTGCACGTGACCGTGCATGTTTTAAAGTTTTGAACTTTTATTGAATAGTAAAATTATGTGTTAATAAATAAAATTTTATAATAAGATTGCTTAAAAGGAAATGTATGAATTAATTATTATTGTGTAGTTATTATAATTGAAGGTTGCCCACCACTAATCTTTTTTTGAATAAGTTCCCCAAATTTACAATTGTTCTTAAATAAGTCTGTCAGATCTATACGTTCTCTTAAATATGTCCCTGCAATTTGAAAGTTGTTAACTTAACCCTAAATTAACTAAGCTGTATTGATCTTGTTAGCTTTTTATAAATATTCCCTGGATAGTTACACTTAATGCCAGTAACATGGTAAATTATACTAAACCCTTATAAACTTTCAGCCCCTATGAACTTTTAAAATCATACTAAAGCCCTAATAATTTTTATGTTTTAAAGAAAACTTCCCAATAACTTTCTAAATTTTGCAGATAATCCCAATAAAGTAGAACCAAAAAATGGCATACAAAGGCATTTTGAAACTTATTGGGGGTTTGGTGTAATTTATTTAAAAGATATTGGGGGCTTTCTACAAAAGTTATTAGGGGTTTAGTGTGATTTCGAAAGTTCATAGAGTCTATTTATTGTAAAATAATGAAAGTTCATGGGGATTTACTGTAATTTACTTTATTTAATATTATAATTCTTAGCTCAATAAATACTGGTGAAATAATTATACTATCTAGATACTATAAAATACTTATCTAATTTAATTTTTTTAATTATGCTCTTAAATACTTTAGTACTATAAATACTTTATAACTTTTTATTTTTTATTATACTATCATTAACAATTAATAGTACTGTTATTAATATTCAATGATTTTTTCGTAGATCAATCATTACTAAGTATAGATTATTCAGTATCATGTAATAATCTTTGAGAAAATATTCTAAAAATAATATTAAATTATTTATTTAATTTATTTAATAATATAATACTAAATAAATAGTGTAATTCATAATTTATATGATATTATTAAAATAACTACATTATTTATGAGATTAATCATTTACTCTATTTATTTTATTGCTCTTTGAATTATTGTATAATTCTTAATAGTATTTAGTAATATATTATTTTATGTATACTATTATTTTAACTATTTTATTATAATTCATAAATAATTATTATAATTATAATTTAATTGGTTACTATTAATAATCGTGTATACTTATTTTATAAATTATATTATTATTATATTATTACACAATTAATAGTTATAATATTATTAACAATTATAATTATTTAGGAAGGTGGGGAGGTGCATAATTAATAAGTGGTTATATTTATTTAATGAAAGATTAATTAGAGATAATGACATAGTTAGAATTTATTAAAATTTGTGAGGGCAAAAAAGGAAACGAAAAGTTTAAAAACCCCAATCCTCTTTTTATAGTAGTATACATTAATCTCTCTACAAATAAGCCTAAACATAATACAAAAAGCCTAAAAATAGATGTTGAACAAACATACTTACCTACCAGTTATCGAACTTTCGGAGTTTTCTTATACATAAATGTATTGTAACTGACAAAACACCCAGTTAGAAAACTAGTTTCTGATTTTATTAGTTTTCGTTATGTTGGAAAAGCCAATGACGATTGTGTAATCACCAATGCCATAACACAGAATAATCACAAAGCGTTAGTCACTCCAGAACTCCATGTTCTCTGCAGTACAGTTTACTTTTACTTTTGACTTCATTAAGTGATCCTAATGCATATCTGCTTGACTCCTCTTTGCAGGAAATCCATTTGCTATCATCCTTGGACTCACAATTGAAATTTAACTCCTTCCATTGAATGTTTTTTCAAACTTCACTCATTTATTTCAGTTGTCCTCTTCTTTTCCACGTCTTTTTTCTTCTATTCTTCTCAGCTTTCTTCTTTCTTTTCTTCCCATCTTTTGCTTTTTGGTTTTATCATTCTTCCCACCTCTGTTACGGTGTTACCCATCATAGGGGTTCTTTTAGAAGGAGAAAAGTTGGAATAAATGGGGGATAATGTGAAGAAGAGGGAGAAGAAAGAAGGAAAAAATCATTGAAGAGAGTGAAAATGGAAATACAGAGAAAATGTAAAAGGAGAAAAAGATGGTGAAGAAAGGGAAAGAAGCAGAGAAAACTGCTGTTGGTTCTGTGGAGATGTCAGTGAGAAATTCTGATGTACTTCTAGTGCCTAGGTGGAGTATCTGATAGATGAGGAGACTATAAAATTGCACTCTCTTTAACAGAAATTTAATATATATGTGCACTTGACGGTTTGCTTGATTGTATAATTTGGGAGGCCTGGGGGCCTACTGCTTGCTAAAAACACAACAGATATCTTCAGACATAATTATTACACTTCTCCATTGGAAGTAAAAATTCATTCCATGCTTTCAAATCTGAAAGACATTAGTTTTGTCCGGTAATGTTTAACTGCAAAAGTCGGGAGGAAGGTATTCACGACATCTTATATCTAATATGCACTTTTAAATTTTGGCTCATCGAGAAGACGATGACTCTTTGATTTCTCCTCCGGTCGTCTTTGGTATTATGTGATGATTACATGTCTATTTCATGTTTAGGATATCTTTAAATCATCAAATATGCACTTTTAAATTTTTTAGATTATTCTTTATTCTTTTTTTAGTATTTACACATATCTAAATTAGACCGTTATTTGATTTTTCGCTTTTTTACCGCTGTTTTGCCGCAATAGCCCCAAATAGCCTTAGCGATGCCTCACTGCTACGCGACGCTATCCACTATCGATAACCTTGGTCACGAGCTTGGGGTGTGACAAGCCTAAACCTCCATTTCTTTTCTCAAAAGTCATAACTAGTAGGGATTAGTCCGTTCCACACTGAACTATCAATAGGCCTCAAAAGCTGATAGACCTGTTCCAGGGAATTGCTTTCAACTTTAAAGTCATAGTTAAACCCAATGAGAAAAATAAGAACTGTTTGTGTCTATATTAGTATATGATCAGTGTTCTTTACGGTCACTTTATGTATCTTCGTAACTATTTTATGTTGAAAATATTGAAGGAGGGTCTAGTTTACAAAGTACTTTATGTTAACTCCCAACTGTTTGTACAGTAACAATATTATATGTAATTATTTCTCCTGATGGAAATTCTTTGTTGATTCTGGTTCCAGCCTATCAATCATGCTTATTGCTTTTGTTGCCAAAGTTTATGGTCGAGTTTACTTGGTAATACAGAGCCAGTGGTGATCTGGCTAAACACCAATCTCTGTAGCAGGTTTTTTTAAGTTAGTTTCTTTCTTCTGTAGTCTTTCTTTTCAATTTGGATAAGATGCTAAGATTCATCGTCTGATGTCAAGGAACATTAATGTCTTATCTACTGAAAACTATGCAAGAATTTAATTGCTTTCAAGTATGTTTTTTTTGCATTTAACCAATTCACATATTTTAATTTAGCCTGAAGTAGAAAGTATGTCCTTATACACAATGTTCTAATTGATTAATGCTAACATTAAGTATCTCAAATGACCTTTCCCTTATATTTGATGCACCGATCAAACTAATTATGTATTTGTTGTTTATTGTTGCTTTTAATTTGTAGGTTACATGTAATTATAAATTTTCCCTATTTAGTTGTATTTTTATTAGCTCATTAGTTGACACAGAAGGTGCACACTAATGCACTTCCATCAACGTAATTTTTCTTCTCTCTTAACTGTTTTTTCTTCCATTTTAGATGGCAATGAGATGTCTCCAATTACATGCTGAGATGGCCCTCCAAACGTCACGGGCATTAGAATCTGCAGGCAGTTTGAGGTCAAGAGCTAATGCATTGCCTTCAAAGATCAATGATATTATCATACCATCATCCAGTATGGACAACCATAGATCTTCAGTGGGATCTGCTACAAGAGTGGCCAATATCAAGCTTTTTTGACGAAACATACGGATAATAATGGAATTTGAATTGGTTTGTTCTGAAGCAGTAGAAGCTACTTTTAGCTGGTACAAAAGAGTCCGTGTGGAAAACACAACCAAGGTGAGATTTAGGCACCCAACTTGATTCTAGGTAAAATATTCTCTAGAGGAACCTTTATGGAAATAGGGATGCAGGAGATTGCGACAAGTCTCCTAGAAAAACATGAGGCCACATGTTCGATAAAAATAATAATCAGTTTAAGATTTGTGCTGGAAGACATGTCATATTTCTCCTATCTTCCTTGATGATTTTCTATGGAGGAGTCGCAATAGGACTTCTTCCCCCCAAGAATTAAACACCAGCGTAGACATATCTAACCAAGGATCATGCATAATAAGTGAAGCTGAAAAGGCTTGATTGAGAACATGAAATTCTGGGAAATGGCTCTTCGATCCATCACCCGTGAGAAATTGAAAGAAGAGGGATGTTTAATATATGTATCATCTGGTAACTTTGTATTTATCGGCTCATAAACTTTATCGATGAAAACTGAAATATGAACTATTTTGACTATTTATGCTTAATAATGAGTATTATTGTGTTGATATCTGATGTACTCTTCTCCTTTCGCATACGTAATGTATTAGTAGGTGAAGATGGAAATTTAAAATTCAACGTGTTTTTGAGCTATGATCGTGTTCAGCAGCCTTTCTGTTGATATGTCGACCTCAACGCTAGGGGAACTGAAAGGATTCTCCATCACGATTATGTTGATTAACCAACTTTATTGATGAAAGCAGGAGCAAGACGTTATCTTCCTTGCATGAGACCATGAAGGGGAATGTACGTAATAAAGATTCAAAAACGACATTTCTTACATGTCCACTTACCCATGTATGTGATGCTTAGGCTTGTTTGTTTGCTTGCACAGAGGTATGTAATTATGAAGTAGCTGAAATAAAGGAAGTAGATATTATTTTTTATACTTCCAAGCAAAAAAATATGTTTGTTTCTCTAAAAAATATACTTTCGATACTTCTTTAAACGCTTATATGGTGCCTACATGTCATTCCTACTTTCTAAACATTTTTCATCCCCTTAAGGTTGGTTTAGAAGTAGTCCAAAAGTAGGTGAAATGTGTATTAATTAGGAAATAAAGAATCTTTCTTACTAATATTTTCGTATTAGTTACTTAATAATTTTTCATTGCTATTCCAAACAAAAAAAATAGAATGAAGAGTAAAAACTACTATTTTTATTACTTTAAAAATTATGTGAAACAAACAAATAAAGTAGTACTTTCACTACTTTCTACTTTATAAATTTAGAAGTTACTTCTTTGATCTATTTCCTATTCCCTATGCTTTGGCAAACCAAAGGAGCCCTTAATTATATGAATCCGTCAATATTTCTTGCCCATGTCACGCATACGCAATTGATATGACGAGGATTTTTGGTTGTCATTAGTTGAGTCTTGCGTGTGGAACGGTGAAAAAAAAATTCCTGAAGAGGATTAGGTATAGAACATCACATCTTTACATATCCCTCAATTATTCCTCCTTTGTACATAATGAAAAATTGGTGGTTTTCCTAAATGCACAAAAAAGGACAAATTTTTCTTTTAGACCTTTTTAGAAACATATTTTTAAAAATTGATCTCATTTGAAAATAATCGTCAATTTCGACCCAGTTTTAGCCAGTTGGTTGAAACTGGGTTGAAATTGACGAAAATTGTTCAAAAACTTCACGGGATTTGAAATCCCATGAAGTTTAAGCCATTTGTTAGCGAAGTGGTTAAGGGAGCAAAATTTTTACATAATTTGAAATCCCATGAAGATTAAACTTTACGGGATTTCAAATCCCGTGAAGTTTGCAGGCCAACCTCCAGAGAGCCTCGCTCTCTGGCCAGCTAACCTGCAACTCAACGGGATTTGAAATTCTGTGGAGTTGCAGGTTTGCCCCAAACATGCACAAAATTGGTGCAAGTTTCTCATATACATACCTAAAATTTGACAACAATATACATTAAAATTTTTGCCTCATTCACAACAATATACACGAAATTTTCGCCTCATTCACAACAATATACATCAAAATAAAACCATAAATATGAAATTTGCAGATATATATTGAATTACAATAATATTCATAAAATTCAACCATGAATCAAACAATTACACACGAAAATCACATATATAAACAATAATCGATCCACAAAAGTAACAAATTTGAACAATCTAACCATATCGTTCTTAAAATTCAAAATGATATATTTAAATTACATATACATCCAAAAAATCCTCCTCTCATTCCTCTCCCTCTCTTACCCCTTCCCCTCACTCTTCCCCTTCATCCCGCCCCCTCTGTCCATGCTAATGAGCCTCAATGATCTGAGTATCTAGTTGTGTATGAGGCTGAGAAGCCGGCTCCATCAGCATGTGTCGTGCTATGAGAAGTGTCGGCTTCATCGTCACGCGTCGCCCTTTGATCTGTCCTACGTCTTCACATGTACACTTGACCAAATTGGCGTAACGTGTCCTCACTGTGATGCTCCTGGTTTCACACAATGTTGCAGCCCAAGGTGAACCCAAGGATGTCAAACCTGTCATGCACCCACACAGTAATATCTCTCTAGTGGAATCAATAATAAACAAGTGTAGATACAAAGCAGATAAGGTAAAGATGATAGTAATATGGGCATGATAAAGGAAATGAGAGAATCCAATAATAATATAATCATGTTCCAACTAAGTAAAATGAAGTATAACTCATAAACTAAAACCAATGTGAAGTATTTCAATACATAGAGTCAAATAAAATAGTACTAAGGCACTCGGCCTTTACAAAATGAAATACAACTCTAAATGCCCGAAAGTAAATCATAATTACTGTGGATCTCTAAATAACTACTACAAATAAATAATGATAGGAGCTACTTCGAAACTCCATCAACCTGCGACTCTTCGTGTGTCTGACTCGCTGCCTGAAAAGAGGGAAAACTACGAGCGTCAAAACGCTTGCGAGATCATCTCCACCGTCCCCAGGGGGAGAGGGAAAAAAGTATATATGAAAATACAAGTTAGTATATATATATATATATATATATATATATATATATATATATAGAGAGAGAGATTAATGGGTATCCTTGTCATAGGAGGGGATTTCCTCCTATGACGCCAAACTTGGTGTGTTGGGGTTTTAGAATATGTAGATCAAGTTCAACGGAGCAGATCATCCACAATGTCGCTCAATCATGTGATTTTAGAGGCGTCAAGGAGGAAATCCCCTCCTATGACAAGGATACCCATTAATCTCATATATATATATATATATATGTATATATATATATATATATATATATATATATATATATATATATATATATATATATATATATATATATATATATATATATATATATATATATATATATATATATATATATATATATATATATATAATCATCTATCCTGAACTAAGCGAAAATTGATATTTAGAGATCCACAACACGGGAATGAGTACGTCGAGTGAAATAATCCAAACAAGAAAACTCTCATGTATATACCTCATATCTCAAATTGTGAATCACTAAATACCTAACTCCCAATCCTATGAAATAAACAATAAACGAAAGACAATACTATACCAAACATCATCAGTACAAGTCATGTCAAATATTTCGCCTTACCCTCGGGTAGGTGGCGCAATCATATGTATAATAATCCGGTAAAAGGAACTCGCATCGAATATGCCATGTATGATAACCTCAACATTATACTCTACTCTTAGGTACCTAACATGGGAGCATGAATGCAATTTGTGTAATACTCTATCTGAAACAACGATGTTTTGTAAGGCGCTCATAGTATCCTGTGACATCACCACCTTACTTAGTCGCTTTGCGGAAATATGCATATCACCCTATTCTGGAAAACAATGATGCACAATGGAGTGTAGTCTGTTGCGGTCTCATTGCAGCATACCAACTAACTACCCTGAGTGTAGCCCCCCGCGGTCTCATTACAGAGTGCCAACTAACCCACTCAAGCATCCATAATTATGAAAAGCAATATATGTATCACTATCTATTATGATGACCTCAAAAATATATGTTACTCACCTCAAAATTTTCCCTTCCTTCCCTTTCCTTAGTCATCTCCCAAAGACACCATTAGTCAAAGCTCTTTCTATATAAAAGGATTTTTCAAGGTTAGAAAATTATCAACTACCCCCTTTAAAATTCTAAAATTACAAATAACTCCCTAAAAATAAAAATAAAAACTGTCCACCTACTCAGGTGGCAAGCCGACTTTCGCCTTTTCTCTTTTTCTCTTAGAATATTATAAATAAATGGGAATATTGTAAAGGATAGGCTGGAAGTTAAATTGTCTGATTTTGAATTTCAATTTTTCAAATAAAAGTCATCGACCCTCTTATTTTGAGTTTTTTTAAGTTTCAAGTTATTTGAAAGAAAAGCTCCAGCTCAGATTATCTAATTTTCAGTATAAGTTGTTCGTATAAACCATTTGTATCCATAAAAAGTAGAGTATATATAAAAATAGAAAAGAAGAAGCAACATCTCAAAAAAATTCTGTTCAATTCAATATAAAAGCAGTTACATTTGACTAAATAAGAAATCTGTAGAGACCAAATAAATCAGAATTTAAAAAAAAAAAAACAGACCCGTAGTTCCAAGCAAATGGCGTGGGTTCAATCCACACTATCTGCTCTGTTTTACTAATTCTACATGTAAGACTCACCCCCATGAGCACGGCAAAATGCTTATAACTCTATAGGGAAATTTACACAGGGAAAATTACACATGAACGAGATTGTGACATGTCAACTTGGTCGTAACATCGCTACTTTATCTCAGTCACAAACTATAACATACATGGAAGACGCCTGTCAGTAATCTTTCACCCTCATGATATAATTATCTGCAGAAGACTATCTGTGGATTCTTTTCCCATGTAAGGTAAAAACTTTGACCAGCACTACATTAAATAAAGAGATAAATTTTGAATTCCATAATCGAGCCTTGATCTTCTATTAGGAATAATTAGTACCATGTGAACTAAAGGAACAAGATAATATACAGTTATTTTCACAGTGAACGTAGCAGTTTGAGAAGCATCTACATATATCCACAAGTATGTAGTTATGTACATATGGTTGAAGAATAGAAACTTCTTAGAGCAGCTCAGTAGAGGATTTCCTCCAATATTTGGCAGATAAATGTACAAAGATTACAAGTACTGAGAAAGCTCAACCTTCCATTTTCTTTTTCCTGAATGTAAAGCAAATAAATTTTCACGACAGAGACTTCTAGGCACCACGAAATAGCTGAACATCATAACAGAGCCTTCTTATAGGAACTTTGATATCACACGGCAAGAGGTGAAAAAGGCCACAGATGCTGCCTGAAATAATGCTGGATTCTGGTATATACTGAAAAAGTGGAACAAGAAAAAGGGAGAAATTAGAACATATTGTGATATTTCTTTGGACAAATTACTCCCTAAATATTTGCAACAAATAGGTAATGCACAGGTATGTGTCACACAAACAATAAGGATGTTTCAAGCAGAGCCAGTTGATAACCAATATAATACGTTACATGGAATAGTTCATATAAAGCCAACTGAGATGAATTAGTGCCCCCTAATTATTAACAAAAGAAGGTAGAAGATATCTGTCTATAGAAGAGCAACTTTGATCCTAAGCTCCTAACATCCGGCAACACATATACATACATATTAATTAATGTATGTATGTATGTGTTTATGTGTGTCGGATGTTAGGAGCTTAGGATCAAAATTGCTCTTCTATAGCCAGACATCTCCCTCCCTCCCTCCCTCCCTCTCTCTCTCTCTCTCCCTGTCTATAGACATTTGCATGTATACATTGCATATACATACATATAAATAGAAACATAGGGGTTGGGACCTGTTGAGATATATGAACTTGTGAGGGTCTTATTTGTAAGAGTGTTTTATTGTATGACCCTATATAAGCCCAAGAGATATTAATCAATAGATAAGCAATTTCTATCCTAATTATTCTATATGGTATCAGAGCCAAAACCCTAGTCGTCACCACCACCCAAACCCTAGCCGTCACCACCACCCGCGTCCCACACACCCCGCAGCCTGCGCATCACAGCACGTCCCAGCGCCCGCCGGCACCTGCCATGCCAGATGCGCTCGGAGGCTGCTACCCTCTCTGTAGCCGCGCGCTGATAGATATGGAGAGGGTAATCGGGATTGGAGAGTTGAGTTAAGGATGGGGAGGAGAGGAGTGGAGGAGTCAAGACCAGAGTTGTGGTCGGATTTCAGGAGTGGAGCTCGAGATCTTGGAGGAGTAGCATGGAGGAGTTTCGGGTTTGATGGTTTTGGTATTTTTCTTTTGTTGTAAAGAAGATGAAGAAATCAGGTGATGGCACAGAAGGTGTTCGACAGAATGTCAAGGAGAAGAAGGGCATTTCTGTTGTTGTGCCTACCACCAGATCTTTAAGGAATAGGGAGGTGATGGTTGGAGGAGATGAAGAGGCGGTGGCTGACTCGAATCTGAGGAGGACTGGGAAGGCTAAAGATAGTGTTCTGGAGGAAGAGATTGAGAAGGTGGTTGCTTCCAAACTCGAGAGCGGTAGCGGTTACAAGCGTCCGAAGAATGCTATTGAAGTGCCGCAGAGAGCCACGAGGCGCCGCCTGGGGTTGGCTGAGTCTGTGCTGTAGTCTCCCGTTATTGAGAAGAAGAAGAGTTGTAGAAGAAGAAGAGTTGTAGAAGAAGAAGAAATTTGGGCTGCCTTTTTAGAGAGAAGAGAGAGAGAATTTTTTGAAGTGGAGGAAATGGTGGCTATGAGGGCGGCCAGAAATGGACTAGGGGTGACGAGCTTGGTGAAGGCGGAGAGAGGCGATCGGGCAGAGGGAAAGAACCTAGCAGGTGTGGTCTTCACTAAGGAGGATCAGGCGCTCTTGGAAGTACTTGAGAGGAAGCAGAGAGCAGCTGGTGATGGTGGCAAGAAGGGTGGGACTGAGAAGGCATTCACTTCGGTCTTCTACAGAGGCAACACCGCTATTTATGCTCATCCGACCAGAGGTACTAATGACACATATGCTCTTGTTTCTATATCTCCCACTAGATTATCAGAATGGATAGTCGATTCCGGTGCGTCTCGACATGTGACAGGCAATGCTAGTGAGTTCTCATCATACACTCACCTAGCATTAGCAGATAGCATCCAGACAGCTGATGGTACATTTCAGCCTGTGGTTAATAAGGATACCGTTAATTGTACAGGTTCTATAACTTTGTCTAATGTTTTGCATGCTCCTTTCCAGTAAATCTTTTGTCCATTAGTGTCATTATCCTCCAACTAAAATGTATCGTTTTTGTTATATTCCCAAGGTGATCTTCCAGGAGAAAGGGACAGGAAGGAGACTTGGGACTGGCACGTAGAGTAATGGACTGTGGTACTTGGATCGTGAGGGGCTGAACTCAGCTTTGGTGTCTGTGGTAAAAAGGGCAGGAGTAGGAGGACCTGAGATGAGTGTTGAGGACGTGTTGATGCTCCACCACCAGCGCTTAGGACATTCTTCCTTCAGTGTTTTGGGTAGGTTGTATCCATCCTTATTTGAGAAAGCAAATAAACAGAAACTGGTGTGTGATGCATGTGAGCTTGGAAAGCTTACTAGAAGTTCGTATTTGGTTTTGGTCATAGGAGTTCTTGTGGATTTGACCTGATATATTCTGATGTTTGGAGGCCTTGTTCCACGAGTTCTATGAATGAATATAAGTATTTTGTGTCTTTCATTGACTGTTTTGCTTGTGTTACTTGGTTATATTTGATGAACAAGAGTGATGTGTTTGGTTGCTTCAAGGACTTTCACAAGCATGTTCAGACTCAATACGGGACAGTGGTGAAAGTATTGAGGTCTGATAATGGGACAGAATATACCAACAGAGCGTCTGAGGAATACTTATCAGCTCAGGGAATACAACACCAGACTATATGTCCATACACACCAGCTCAGAATGGGGTAGCGAAAAGGAAGAACAGACATCTTTTAGGGGTTGCTAGAAGCATGATGATCTCCATGAATGTCCTAGAAACATTATGGGGGCAAGCAGTGTTGATCGCAGCTCAGTTAATCAACAGGATGCCCTCGAAAGTGCTGGATTGGAAGTCTCCGTGTGAGACGTTGAAGGGAGATAATGGTGGGATTCATCCACTGAAGGTATTTGGCGGTGTGTGCTTTGTGAAGGACAACAAGCCATCCGTCGGGAAGCTTGACCCTAGAGCGGTAAAGTGCATCTTTGTGGGATATTATGCTACACAGAAGGAATATATTTGCTGAAGCACGATGGAGAAGAGGCTGTTTGTGAGCATGGATGTGCACTTTTGAGAGCTCGAGCCATATTACACCCGAGAGGTAACTTCATCCGTTGATGACTCGCCTGATACTGGAAGTATGAAGCGAGAGGGGGAGAATGGTGAGAGGTCGGTGAACAATGTGGAGAAATCGATTTCTGTATCGATTCCTTGGGAGAAAGAATTGGTTGAGAAGGAGCAGGAGAATGAAGAAGAGGAGAAGGAGACAAGAGGTGTTAGGCCCACGGCTCAGGTGGAGTTACTTACCTATAATAGAAAGGAGAAGCAGATTGAGCAAACAGTACCTACAGTACCACTGGTGCCAAGTCCCTTGTTTTGGTCTACCCCGACTCATGAGACACATACACCACTACCAAAATCCTCCCACCAAGGTGATATCATTCCTCTCATTACTCCTCCCACACCAATGTCAGTACGAAGGACTACTCGTACAATACGAGAAATCCTCCTGATAGATATGGTTAGGATCATGTCCAGTTTGTCTCATATTCTAACATATCTACTGCACATGGAGCATTCATTACATCTTTGGACTCTGTTACCTTACCTAACAATTGGCAGATTGCTAAGGACCCAAAGTGAAAAGCGGCTATGCACGAGGAGCTAGGGGCTCTCGAGAAAAACCGCACATGGGAGTTAGTGAAGCTACCGGAGGGGAAAAGAGCAGTTGGATGCAATTGGGTCTTCACTGTGAAACAGAATCCAGACAGACAGGTTAAGCGCTACAAGGCATGCCTGGTGGCAAAAGGGTACAGTCAGACATATGACATCGACTATGATGAGACTTTTGCACCTGTGGCGAAGATGAGCACTGTTCAGACTTTGATCTCTCTGACAGTGAATGATGGATGAAAGCTACACCAACTAGATGTGAAGAATGCATTTCTTTATAAGGACCTAGTGGAGGAGGTGTACATGGAGATACCACCGGGATTTGACACAGATCAGACAGTGGACAAGGTCTGCAGATTGAAGAAGTCTCTCTATGGACTGAAGCAGTCTCCTCGCGCCTGGTTCGACAGATTTAGGAAAGCTATGATAGGTATGAGGTACCAACAGATCAACGTCGATCACACTGTGTTCTTTCGACGAAATGGAGGCCACATTACCATGCTTGTTGTATATGTGAATGATATGATTGTTATAGGGGATGATGAGAAGGAGATTGCCCAACTCAAAGTGAGGTTGAGTAAGGAGTTCGAAGTGAAAGATCTTGACTTGTTGCGATACTTTCTTGGGATCGAGATAGCTCGAGAAGCGGAGGGGATTGTTCTCTCTCAAAAGAAATATGCACTGGATCTTCTCACAGAGACAGGGAAGTTGGGGTGCAAACCTGCAGCTACACCGATCGACCAGAGGTTCAAGCTGGGTACTGAGGTTAGAGAACCAGTTGATCGCGATAGATACCAGAGATTAGTGGGCAAGTTGATCTATTTGAGTTACACACATCCCGATATCTCTTTTGCAGTGAGCGTGGTGAGTCGCTACATGCATGATCCGAAGAAGAATCATATGGACGCAGTGTACCAGATCCTGAGATATTTGAAGAGTACCCCTGGGAAAGGGCTGATATTCAGGAAGAATGGTAATGTGAGGATTGAGGGCTACTGTGTCTCTGATTGGGCTAGTTGTGCTGATGACAGGAGGTCCACTTCAGGATACTACATCTTTGTAAGAAGCAACTTGGTCTCGTGGAAGAGCAAGAAGCAGTCGATGGTGGCGAGATCGACAGCTGAGGCAGAGTACAGAGCTATGGCCTTGGGAGTTACGGAGTAGTTGTGGCTGAAGAGTATGTTGATGGAGCTGAAGCTAGATCAGGGAGCCAAGATGAAGCTGTGATGTGACAACAAGTCAGCAATCAGCATCGCCAGCAACCCAGTGCAGCATGATAGAACCAAACATATCGAGATCGATAGATTTTTTATCAAAGAGAAGCTGAACAGTGGACTACTGGAGTTAGGTCATGTTCCAACCAAAGATCAGGCAGCCGACTGTCTGACCAAGGGACTCAGTTCGGTAGACATGACTAGAGGCTGTGACAAGATAGGCTTAGTGGATATCTTTCGCTCATCTTGAGGAGGAGTGTTGAGATATATGGACTTGTGAGGATCTTATTTGTAAGAGTGTTTTATTGTATGGCCCTATATAAGCCCAAGAGATATTAATCAATAGATAAGCAATTTCTATCCTAATTATTCTATAGGACCTATGTTTTAAATATTCATAATAAACTAATTGATAAAACAACAGTAACCATCTAACAAAAAATCAGGATTTTAGGTACTAAATTACCCAATAGCAGTTGCACTCCATGATGCAACATTATAAATGACTTTGCTTCCATCCCAAGCCTTCTGAAGCTTACCTTTCTTCTTCTTCACAGAAAATGTTTTGCTAAGAACTGAAAGGGTATTTGTTAAAGAGGCGAATTAGACATCAGAAACTTGTTCAATACCTGATAGTCAGCTAAAGGGGATGACATACATGAAATCTTCTAAATTCAGATAAAAATCACTCACCTTCTTGAAGCTGATTGGGAGTCAATTCCTGTAAAGAAAAACTGTACATCATAAAATTCAACAAAGCCAAGAAGATGTATCCCATACTAAAAAATATGAAACTGTTGAAAACCTTGAGATGACAGGTTTCCGGTGTATTTGTAATAAGAAATAATTATAGAGTACAAGCAACTAAACTCTCCCATTAAATATCTGTTAATTTGTTTAGCTTTCTAAATTCTAATTCAGAAAATATAAGCTTTCACCAGTCCATTAGCACGTTTAGTGTACCAAAAGTCCCTACTTCATGGTTCTACCGCATTATTTAACACAAAAGGACCAGAAGTTCAGCTTCAAGTTTCAAACCGAGCGCAACCAAGCCGGATATTAACAGACCAAAAACTTTCCATTAACTATCTGTTAATTTGTTTTAGTTTGCTAAATTCTAATTCAGAACATATATAATAAGTTTTCACTAGACCCTTTACATATCTACGGTACCCAAAGTCTGTACTTTATGGTTCTATTGCAAAATTTAACACAAAAGGAACAGAAGTTAGGCTTCAAGTTTCAAACTGAGTGCAAGCCTGATGTTGACAAGACGACTATGAAATAGAATAACTACTACTACTCCAAGAATGAAAGAACATCCATACAGGCATGCATAACTCAAGGTTATTATGCATAATTTAACATAATCATAATAATTTAACATAATGAAGACAACATTTCAGCTATTAAAAAAACATGAACAAAGGGTAAACTATATGCACTTCTAAGGCAGAGGAACTAGAGATGACAATTTTCTTCCCTGCCAGTGCACTAAACCTCCAACCAGCATGGGGTCTTCAAGCCTGTGCTTTCACCTTCATTACTTGCACATTAAAATTTATGCTTCGCCATGAAGGCTCCACCATGAATTATCCCTCTCATATTCAAATGGTTATCATTTTCTTGCAATGATAAACTCCTAATCCATCACCAAGTCATCTTTCTTTTTGTATGCTATAAAGATATATGCTTATTCCCATGCCTGCCACCACTATAAACACCAGCATTCAATTGTCACATGAGTTCCTCGGTCTTGCTCCCTTTCTCATTGCTTTTATCAGGTGCATTATTTTTCATAACTTCAGAACTTTCATCCGTACTGATTTATTCTTAACTCATACGTACTCATACACGAGTAAATATAGTTCTGTAACTTTTAGAACGGAGAAAATAAAAAAAAAAATTGGTCATACTATGTTGTGATATGTAGGTAGCAACTAGTTGTAATTGCACAATTAGAAGTTGCTTGAAGTGATGCTCTACGTGACCCCCCCCCACACACACACACACACCCGCAAAAAAAAAAAGAGAAAAAGAAAAAGAAAAAGTAGTTAACCTGTGCACATTCTACAATCTGATTGTAGTAATTTTTAAGTTGATGATTCTCATGTTACAGGTGAACCACCTATTACTCCTCCAGAATTTCATGAAGTTTTTTCAAGCATTGCAATTATAGCCAGTCTGTTAGCCTTGAAAGATCAGACTGTGACAAGTTATCATGCCTGTAAATGGTTATTTGCATAATAATTTTTTTTAACACAAATAAAAAACGCCACAGAAGCATAAACTGCAGTCTGAGAGTATATCAGTTCAGCAATACCTTGAGGATCATGTAATCAGTTCAGTATTTCTTTATTCACCGCATACAATTATGTACATGTTTCCAAGCATCTAGTTGTAAAATAACAATTAGCTGTGAGGATTAGCACCGTTCATTATGTTGCAGAGCAATTCCTAATAGCATTTGAGGCTGATGACAAGAAAATTGAAAGAGCTAAACAAGGGGAAAAGATGCATACTTTAGTTTGTTCTAAAGATAGAAGATATGCAGCCATGAAGCATGCAATTCCCTCAACTATGTCTTCTTGCTTAACAAGAACATAACCATCTTGATCGGATTCATTGTCCCCACTAATATGCTTGTCCTCCCATAAGTCTTTGGCACCAATCATATCCCATGATGCATTATCATCTGTATCACATAACAAATTATCATCAGCCACTTACTCAGATAAAATAGAATTGAACTGCATGAACAGCTACAAAAATGTAATTCTGCAGCAGATCAGCAGTAAATTTCTACAGATATCATAAATAAAATATTATTTTCAATTGAGGTGTACGGAATAATTATAGGGTTTTTGCACATATACCCCTCAAGTTTTTCATATTTGCAAAACTACCCACTAAATCTTGGTAGTTGCAAAAATACCCCCAAAATCTTTCAGATTGGGATTTTATACCCTCCGCATTTAACAATGTTAATTTTCTTGGGTTGGATGGGTGCTTTGACATTTTTGACATTTTTACCCCTCCTCCCAAACATAATAAGAGAGATAAAAGGAGAAAGGACAAAGACATGAAAATGTTAAATTGATCTAGATGGATACAAAGAGCTCAGGCCAGATAAGGAACATAAGAGGGGAAAGTGATACAGGTATCGGGAAAATGATATATATAGGATGAGGGTTAAAAGGAATGAAGGTACAGAGATATATAAGAAGGTGATACAGAGACATAAAAGAAATCCAATAAGATTTTAGCGATTGAATCGAAATCTCCAGAATTTGGAAATCAATCGTCACATAGAAGTAACCAGACTTAGACATGGAATGACCTTCCTTCCCCCCATGAACTTCCAGAGAACCGTACGCCGAGCTGAATGCACCACCATGACCTTCTTGAGGTTAAGGTTAAAGGCTTGGGTTTTGGTTTCGTTGGGGCTAGGTTTTGGAGAGAACTGAGATCTTTGAATTTGTGGAAGGCATAGTCAAGCTTTGAGCGAAGATTTGAGAAGAGATCTGTTGGGCTTTGTCCCTTCCCTACAATTCCAGTTGTCGTTCTTTAATTAGAAATATAATTAAGTTTAATCGAATGAGGAAAGGACATATCAGGCACTATAGTATTCTTAAACTACACTAACAAAAGTTTTAAGAATGTACAAGCCGTATTCCCCAACCCAATATTTAAAGGGTAGAAAAGCCCAATATGAAAGAATTGAGGTATAGTTTTGCTGGTATATATGCCAAAAAACTTTAGGTATTACACACACAAAAATGACAGTGAGAACCTGTCATATGGATGCTCCCAAGCTTTGCAAGAAAGTCCGGTGAGTCAACTTTCGACTTGACGAGACCACATAACTGCACAACATAAAAGGGCGGACATAATTTTATGCAACAGCATTACAAAGTACAGCTATGTGATGTTCAACGATCTGTAAATGGAATTCCTGCACTCAAAATAAAATTTAATGAAAGCACTTTCATCAATATGCAAAAGACCTCCTTGTACTTTCTGTGGTACATATGTGTAATGTGTATATAAACAAATATTCTAGGAAAAGAACATATACTTTCCTGTTTTCAACAATATGGAAACTTACAACAATAAGAAAGCCCTTATTCCAAAACTTTGGGGCCAGTTGGCATGAATCTACCCTTCAACACAGTTCCATTTGAGAGCCATCTCCACTAAGTAATTCATTATCATATTCTTCTTAACAGCTCTACACAAGTTTTCTGAGGAATAAATCCAACCCTTCATTATTCATTGATTATAATCTTATCATTTCTTCTAATTGTTGCATTTAACTTTTCACTGCATGTCCGAAGCCAGGATAAAGGATGAGGGTTGTGTTAGGTAGCCGATCCTTAACATTAAACCTAGATCTCTACGAACAAATATGGGGAAAAAGGAAAAGGAAAAACAGGCAATAACTAACCTACAACTAGGGATGGAAGCAAACCAAATAATGTGTTAATTGTTTGTCTAAATATTGGGTTATATTCGATAAGTAGTTCATTTATAGTAAACAAATAGTCGTTAGTATTTGGGTCAAAAATGAATAGAATTTAACCAAATGTATATTTGATTTGTTTGATTATCAAATATTGGTTTAAATTTTATCTCTTATAATTTTTATTATTACATGCATGATTTTATGTTTTTTATCCCTTTATACTTTGTAATTTAAATTCTATACCAACTTTGTCAAATTTAAAGAGCTCTGTATCAGTTTTTAAACCAAATTTCATTAACCACATGAAAGTATATTTTCAATTAAATAGTTTAATATTCATAAACTAAGAATTAGTAATCAAAATAAACATACCGCGATATTCATTATATACTCGTGAATGTTCTAGAAATATTTGTATTCACATTAGAATTAGAAGAAATTTAGAAACTGATATTTGTACTCAAATTTGTACTCGAATTCGTATTTGAATTTGAAGATTTATTAAAAATACAAATACGAACATGCTAGTATTCGATTTGATTTGATCTGCTCTGTTTGCAGCCCTCATTACAACGAAACAAGCAAGGAGATTCCCTACAATTTTTATAAGAAATCTAATTCAAATATTGTAGCCTAAGATATCCATCAATGATACACCTATCGTCATTGTTTAAAAACATTAATGAGTTTAACCATGACCCTCCACTTCCATCTTCATTGAACTATCACATCAAGAACTTATTATATCTGTTTTAAGTTATCTGTATTAAACATGCTTTCCAAAGATGCGTAGAACACAACAGATATTTTGTAGCAAGAACTTATCTTTCTTACAATAAAACCTTTCTGAAATGGATAAAACCATCACTCAACAAATTGTGACCAGCTCCTAACTGTGAAATAAAACACGCATCTATTGAAGGACCTTCAGGTCAATCATAGACCAGAATGCAACTAATGCATAATTTACGCAAGGCATAACAAAGAGGGAAAGACCGTTGTTCCATATTGATGCATTACAAAATTAATTGACAAGTGGTCTATATCTTTCAAACTTCAAAGTTCAAAGTAAGAGTAGTAAGTAGTGAATCAATACCATTATAATTATCAGTAATCAGTGCCTGGAACATTGTAAAAGGATTAAAAGTTATCAGAAACAGAGTCTGCATTAGAGTTGGATAAGAACGTTTCTCAACATTAAAAGAGGGACAGCAAAGGATTAAAACCTACTAAAACTAGACTAGACCACGGTCATGTAATATGCAAAATAAATGTATTTGACGAAAAGACAGACACATTCTGATATTTTCCATTTCATCAAATTATAGTCATGTAAATACTTCTTCAAGCATATTTTAGCAAATCATTTACCACATTCTCTTATACCAATACTGTTCAGAAAAGAAACAGAACAATTATTTTGCATTTCATCTACAACGCTTTCTTAAACATATACCATGGCGACTGTTGAAACACAAATATACATCAACCTGGTCTTGCAATTTTACAGCTATATAAAAGTAGTAGACAGACTGCTCTTTTTAATCACAACCATCTATTGTATAGTGGAAGGTAGTGATTCCTCTTGAGTGATAAACAAGAATGAGCGTAAAGGGGGAACACAGTAAGTGCTAGATTTGGAATGAGTCGCAACTATCCATTGAACAATAGATGATTGTGATTAAAAGTCGCAATCTCTCAACTAATTTCTTATAGCGGAGAGCTTTTGGCAGTGGAGAGTATCAAAATCCATCAACTAATACAGTAATGAAAACCAAAACTCACAAGGAAAAACATAAACCTGAAGCTCACAACCAACACTACTACCTGAAACACACATTTCATATTCATAAAGCATCTTGAACAGATAAGACTAAATCTAGATCCCACTCTATGCGGCACTATTCTTTAGTTGTGAAGCCAATGTCCAAGTCGGACAAATATTAGAAACAAGCCTTCTTTAAAGGTCATTTTATCATTTCATAAGCACCATTTTAGTTTTTTTTTTTTTTTTTTTTTTTGTGCACCATCTAATGACCTGCTCATGCCGTACACATGTAATAGCATCCAAATCCATGCTTTTCAACACAAGTTGACATGACTTCTACAAGTCGCATGACAACCCTTTCAACATTCACAAATATCCAATCAAATGTTTCTGTTGACATATCAACTCCCAAATCTAGTCTTCCTGGCTCAACCAACTGCAAGTCTTCCCCTTAAAACTATGAATCCAGTAACGGGTATTCCATCATAACTTGGAGTTAACTACCAAAATTAAATCCCCCAGAAACGTAAAGAAAGACATATTTATGGATTCAATAAGTATCAGCAACCTTTCCGGTTCTAGGTAACCCTAAGTAATATAAAGAGTCAATTCTAACACCAAAAAAAAAAATTAGAAAAAAAATCAAAATTTTGGAAATATTACCTCATCAGAATCATAATCGGAATCGGTAGACGAATCGTTGGAACAATCTCCTCCAGATCCTCTCTCTTCCTCATCTTCTCTCTCTTTGGCGGTCGAGTTAGGGTTTTTGGGATCGGATTCTTTGAGATGATCTAGGGTTCTCTGGCACTGCTCGAGGACCGATTGAAGAGTCTTCTTCCTCAGACGCAGTCGATCCGTCTCCATGAAGAAGGAAGAAGATCGAAGGGATCGTTGGAGGTTTCAAAGAGCACGCTTCGTTTTCATGTGTTGTCGTCGATCTGTTTTTTTTTTTTTAACAGTATTTTGTAATTTTCAAAATTTCAGAAAACCACCTCTGTTTAGGGGTTACTAAAGAACCACCATTAACTCTAACATTTTATCAGAAAACCCCACCTTAAAAGTGCTAACCAGCAATTTTTACTTGCAAAAATAGCTCATAGTTTTATCCATACAATGTCAAAATTGCGGTCAATGCTTTTAGGGGGCTTCTTGAGAAAATATTAAAAATTAAAGGGGGTTTTCTGATAACCTCTGCCCTTAAGAGGGTTTTCTGATATTCTATGATTTATGTTATCTGATGATCATCCAAAGTTAAGGGGTTTTCTAAAATTCAGCCATTTTTAAGAGGATACAAAAAATCAGCATCTTTCTCTGTAAATAAGAAAAACACGAACTTTGAGGGAGTATAAACTTGAAAATGATATGATAATGACAAAAAAAAATTAATTTCTTGCACTTTACTGTGAAATATGAACTTACAAAGGTTCCAATGAGATATATGTGGAGGGAAAACTTCAATTAAATAATATAACTCGAGCAAGTCTTTGCTTTCAGACCATCTTCTTCAATTACTTGAAGCATATATTCCTCCAAATCACTCACGGTGAATGAATGAGAAACCAACGCAAATAAGCAGTTGTTTGTAGCTCTGTTTTCTAACGGATTCATTGGCTTTTAATGCTACTATTTTTAGCAATTTGATAATTATTTAATGATCAACTTCCATGCCTTGTTTCCACTTTTAAGACCCTTTGTAGCGACCTAAATAATTAACTAATTATAATTTTTCTCTTATAAATAATATTAATAATAAGTAAGAAGAAGAGGAAAATGTGTAATAAAATTTATATGGGAGGGGTCTTTTGTGAACATCACCCAGTTTGCTGTCAAGTGAGCATTCTTCCTAAGTTGGGTTGGCTCATTACTATTGGACATTGATATGAGTCAAAGGACGTGTCTTTCCCTCATGTGCTCCTTGCCTTTCCCTCATGTGCTCCTTGCCTTCCATGAAGGAAAAAAAATTAAAACGGTATCCTTGCATAATACTCCTCTCAAATTCTGATTTTCATCCTTCTTGAACTCTTGCTACTGTAGTAAACAGTAATGTGCATTTGAGAAGAAAATAGGGAAGAGAGGGAAGAAGGAGAGTAGCTAAGCCTCTATCAAACAACTCATAGCAAGGTACAATCTTCTCCCATATTTTATTTGGTTGAATTCATGTAATAGAGTAATGGTAAGCTATCATGGGCAATCAAAGGGTAATTAAAATGAATTGAGACTAAATTATGTTATGAAATGGTTTGTGAAGTGCTTTTTGATATTATTGAATATTAAAAAAATTACAAACCTAGATCCGGTGAAGGTCTCGTCGACCGGCCACCCTAGTCATTGACAATTCCTGTCGCCATGCTACTGCACGGCGAGAGGGATGAGAGACTGTCGGCAAACCCTTAGGTAATCTAGCCAAAAAAACCGAACAAGAAGAGGAAGATGAAGAATCGGGTAGCAGGAGAACAAAGAAAAGGAGAGAAGGAAAAATCTCATTTTCACCCTTGGCTTACAAAAACAATTTCATGATAAGCCATCTAAGTCATTGGATACAAGTTTTGGCTAGGAAACTTTTCTTTAAATCCCTGAACCATGTGAGAATTTCGAACAGACCTAAGAAAATGAATTATGGTTGAAAAAATACTGGAAAATCTCTGTTAGCCCCCTGTCATTTGCTCTGTTTGCAAATAAGTACAATCTTAAGAATAAAAGATAACTTTGGGCTTGATCAATTTTCTATAGCCCCCTGTCTTGTTGTGATACTGCTAAGAGAACTACAAGTTAATAAAAGAGAGTTATAAAGTTATGCTAGATTGCTAAAATTAGTAACAAGCCTATGTAAACCTCATTTATGAGTTTGATTCTATTTGATAATAGTTGGCACTATTTATGCCTAGATTATACAATGATTAACAAATAATATATGTTTGTCCTGAATTAATATTAGTCTTATATCTTATATTATAGGATCTGGTTGATATCCAAGGAAGTAATATTTTGAAGAAGTCGTGTCCACTTGAGGTGAGTTCATTTCTCACTAGTATTTTATAATATGAAATTGCATGAGTGTTATATTTGATTTATCTTGTGATCAAAAAATAAATAATATATCATTTTCATGCATATAAAGTTAATGGTGATTTGATCTACTTCTGTTGTGACCTAAGACATAATGCGATGCTGATTTCGTACAAGATATGAAAAATCAATTTGATTTTATATGAACTATGAAAAGTAAATTTGGTTCTCATGTGATTTTAAATAATTGTGGGTATTGCTTTATTGGAAAGCTTTTGAAGAAAAGAAATATTTTGAACGTGTTTCGACAGTTTAATGGATTCAAAGATTTTCTATGGCTTAGTATCTGATAAAAGTAGAGAAAAGTAAAATCCATAAACTATTTTAATTAAGGTTTAATATAATGAGTTTACACTTATCCACTCGATTCAAAAATGTTTAGCAAATTCTAATAAGTGATGGCTTTTTGATTTGATAAGTGATTCTCGATATTTTTTAACCCTCAATAAAAGTCCACTATGGAGTGATTATGTCTGCCATATGGTGAATGTGAAAGTACCCTAGGAGGGGGGGTGAATAAGGTATTTGCTAATCTAATCCGATTTTGATGCCAAATAAAAACTTATTTAACTAATAACCTAGAAAATATGATATCCAATAAAATTATGTGTAAGGATAAACAATGAATAATAGGCAATATAAACAATGAGATAATAAGAGTGCGCAAAAACAATCACAAACACAAGGATATATTTACGGAGTTCGGTTAACCATCGACCTACATTTTTGCTCCTCACCTCGAGGAGATTCTCCATTATCAACACAAAATCACTGCACAATCAGTTTCCCAAGCTCACCGAAATTTTTTATAATATACATGTTGACAATCACACAATACAGTTCTCTAAGTGTTGGCCGACCCGTGTCACCTTCCTCAAGTGCTTGGAATTACTACCTCTCCCTAGGTTTTTATAACCAAGCCACTCCTCTTAGAATTAACCGCGATCTTCTCCCAATCACTCCTCTAAGCGTCCTTGTGTATTACAACGTGTTCTCAATAATAATAAGCTCAAATGGTTGTGTGTGTAAACAATAAACAACAAAAATTAAACTCAAATTAATCTAGCAAATATATATAAGAATAAAAATAAAAATAAGCTAGATAATGAGTTTAGAAAAACTTCTCTAAACAAAGAGATGTAGATATAGATGTTTGAGGTTGAACTCCTCAAAACCGAAATTCAAGGCCTTCTCTTTGTAAAACTCTTTTGCATAAACCAAAAACACACTTAAACTCTTGAAAACAATCTTATATAAACTCACTTAAACATCCATGTCTCAAGAACAAGGCTTGAAGGCTATATATATAACCTCCCAAACAAAACAACTCAAAACTAGCTGCTACTGGGCAAACTAACCATTATCGGTCGACTGATGAACCTCATCGGTCGAATGATAGGCTGCACATGCGAAAATAAATGAGCTATCGGTCGATTGATGACACTACATCGGTCGACTGATAACATTGTTCAGTCGACTGATAAGGATGGGTCGACTGAGTAGAAAAAAAATAAAATTCCAGAGTAGTTTATCGGTCGATTGATATGAACAGTCGGTTGACCGAAAAACGTGCACAGCCCTTATATGAACAGTAAATTTTATTTTCAAAGGTGTTTTAAAAATAATAAATAAATTCTAAAAATTATAAAATTTGGAAAAATGTTTATTCGTATGAAAATAAACATGTTAGAAAAAGAATTTTTTAAATTGCACTTCCCATTTGTGGAAACTCATCATTTTGCAGAACGTACAAAAATACAAAATTGTCAAATACTTGATTTTGATGAAATATTTTCAAATAAGTTTTGAAATACTTTCGAGTAGATTAATAGACTTGATAAAATATATAAAATAGTATAATCAAGTCTTTAATCCGTAAACATATTATTTTCCAAATAAAAATGATAAATATGAAACAAGTATGTATGTTTATAAATATAACTATTTGTTTCATATTTATACGATTGAATTTGAAAGCTATAAAACGAAACGTGTATGTGTGTAATATTTGAACTTTTAAGTATAAACACACAAGTATAAATACCTAAACTAATATACCCAAGCTAAATGATCTTGTGACGTTTGATCTTGGGCGATCCTCTTCTCGTAGAATGGATGAAGCAATAATGTGTCTGGAACTTGAATCGCATCATGCTTCATTCCAATTTTATTCTATCCTCCAATGGATATGATCCTATAGACGCAAGTCCAACCAACCTCCATCCGAGGATATTTGTGCAAGTAAATACAAACACTCGACAAACGATGTTAGGAATTGTTTGTTAATCATCAAAACCAGATTAGATAGTAGGCTCATAAACATAAAATCTAACAATCTCCTCATTTTTGATGATAACAAACAATTTACGCAAAATAGTAAAGGAAATATACATGATACCAAATGAATATACAATTTTATAATCATCGTGCATATACAATAGAAAGCAATAAATGAAATGCCCACAATATACTTGTTTCTCCATTTTGTCAACATCAAAATAGGGAAAACAATAAGAAAGAAGAGAGCAAAGGCTCCCCCTACCTATAAGCATAGTGAGTATAAACAAGTTAGGGAAAGGCTCCCCCTATCAAAATGCCTTAAAGCATATATATAAAGAAAAATGTAAGGCAACAATATGTGAGCATAGATAAAAAAAATATATCATGACAACTCACATTCAAAGAGACCATGAGAATGCATAAAGATATATCATTATGAACGGTGTCTCAAAACATAGTTTTAAAATAAATCTTAAACAAAAATTAATACATAAAACAATTTAATTAAAGTTAAAAATAATAGTATAAACAAATCTCCAAAGGCAATAAAAATGATGATCCAAACATCATCCAGAAATATTCATGAAAGAAACTCCACGAAGGAAAAGTATGAAAAT